AGTAAATTAGCCGCGTCCCCGTGAAGTATCTGCACCGGAGTGACTAATTTCATCACTCTTTCGTCTTCTCTCCTTGTGCAGGGTCGAACTGAGCGCTCAAACTGAGATCCATCGGACAGTACGTGAACAGTCAACTCGCCATTGGAGATCCTAACCGGTTTAGCTGAGAGACACATTTCAGTGTGGTCGTCGAAGTGGCATGTGAACCCTCCAACCTCGAGCTGGTTTCTCTCTTCTCCTGCACAAAAACGTCAGTGCAATTTACTGTAAGTGAAACAAGTACAAATAGACGAGCGCAATTGGCTGTAAGATGGAGTCTTTTGCTTCGGAAACTGTTGATTTAACTCCATTAAGTTCGACTGTTCGAGTGCACATGATTCTTGTGAAAATACTGAGCCACACTTATGTTAACATGTTGACTTCATATCAGATCAGCAAAGAAATGCAGAAGCTGAAAATGTAACCTCTTACTAGTCTTCTGAGAAGATTCTTGAGAGCGTCTCTCTCTTCAGTGACTTGATCCACCTCTCTGGCATCATTATTCCCCCTCCAATTTGGAATCTGATTCCTCCCTGAAATTTATAATCTGTATTAGGAGTCATCCTTCGATGATCAACTGCACAACATGATATACAACAGCGAAAAGAGAAGTATAAGTGAAGTCGAACTGAGAACCAAGATTACATGAAAGAAACGGCGAGTCCTTCGATACAAGAAGGGCGATACAGAGCGAAACCGCAATGAGCAAACAAGCCATTGATGCTGCTCCAAGCACCGGGCGCTTCGACTCCTTCCCCATAATCTGTCAAACCAAAACACATAGCCAAGTCTACGGATTTTTACAGATTAAACCCTGAAATGTGCAATTCATTGAGGTCAAGGGGTCCGGTCTTTTCTTAAAGATTCTTGCACGTCTTCCTCTGCAACTAGGCAGCTTTGTAAGACTTCGTGGGGAGGATAGGGAAACGTTAGCTGGACTATCGTTTTTTATTCATCGAGCAAGTCTCACGAGTAGAAAAGAGGAGATTAATTTAATTCTTTGTACGGTGGTTAGCCTGATTTTTTTTGATAATCTCCATTTGAATGTGCTACCGTATCTTGTAGACGAGGCTTGAGTAGATACGCATTAGCACCAAATCTTAAGACCTTTTACACAGAAAATTTGTTCATTTATATCAATTTACGAGTTGAACATACTACATCGTGTCGCATTCGAATTTGCTCCAGTTGTTTCGTGTTTTGCCCCCGCATGTCATGGAACGGATCACTTACAAATATTGTCGACCCTGGATGATTGGTCACCTCTTCTCCATCTTTTTCGTCTTAACCGCATCATATAGGACCTGGAACAATTTTGAATCCGATGTTTGTAAAGTGAAATTGTGCTACAAACATTAACTCTTACAACGAGATCTAGCTGGCAACAAAAGGTGACATTGGCTCTGTTTGTTTGTAGCTATGACAATTAAAAAAAGGACTTCGTCTGGATAGATCAAACTTTGGAGAACGTGATAAAAATAAATTACCAAAATAAAAAAAGAACAATGGACACCAGATCTACGTTGACAATGACTTTGGGCCAAAAAGAAAAGTTTATGGTGATTTTGACAACAAAAAAAAGAATGAGAAGTGTGGAAAAATAAGTCGATCTTCTCATTTATTTTACCCATCAAACTACATAATCCTAGCTTCACAATGTAAGTAAGATGATCTCGTTTCAAGATGATGGATCATTTATATGTTGCAGTCTGTTGCGTAACGTGCCAAGCTGGTTTGTTTTGCAAATGAACTTGTGTTATTCGATGCATATCATATAGAACATCTGCAAAACGTAGTAATCTTATTTTACATTGATTCAGTCACAAATCCCAAATCCCAGGTTTATCCCAAGAAAAAACCACAGAAATCCGACTATGTCACCCTTCTGTCCTGCAATGGCAATTAATTCAAACCTGAAGTTATGGAGTGTCCAATGAGTCTCATTGCTTCCAAGAGCGTCTCGTTGAAACTAGCCAAGTTGATATTCACATCCTGACCATCCACATACACCAATTGACCCGGGATCGGCAATCACCGGGTGATTGAGACTGTATATTTCCGACAGTGAGCTCTCCTCTGGCTCTATCTTGTACTCCGGATATTGGATATCCATGGCGGTTGAGGGGACTCCGTAATAGGTGGCTAATGCCCAGTCCTGTCCCAGAGGCACCACCTGCACCACCACCGCGCCGTCTGGCAAGAAGATCTTGTTAGCGAGCCCTGCCCCGTGAACTCCTACCATTACGCTGCCTGAACTGACTGTCTTGGTGGACCGGTCAAGGTCCGACATAGTATGGGGCAATGTCCTGACTACTTTGAATCCCAACTTCCGTGCCAGTTCAGTGATGGCATCCTCATTCAAAATTTTCTATGTCGTGCATCGCGCAACTAGTATCAGGACTGGGTTTCGCCCCTTTTCTATCTCCTGCAGACTTTTTGTTTTCAGGCCGTAGGTTTCTCTGACAAACTGCCTGAATTCGCCCATAGTGTTTCCTTCGGGGACATAGCTGGAATTTATTGCTAGATCGCTGTGGTACCGAAGTCCTGCAACTGCTCCTGGAAAGCAGTGAACACTTCCATCGGCTAGATCGAGAGCCTCTAGCCGGACAAGTGGTTCAAAATTCTCCTGTATTTGTTGATCTACCATTGGTTGCAATCGGCGACGACGAATTTGAGTTGCGACCGGAAGAGTTCACACGTAAGGAACAAGGGGATGATGATTTTACTGAACTCGTGGAATACGTTTCCTATGAATCCCAATGAGAAGATCAAAGTTGGGACATCGTGGGTGATATTGCAGGTCGGTGGATCATCAGTGTTCCCATGAACTATCTGCACTGAAGTGACCTGTTTCATGGCAAATTCGGCTTCTCTTCTAGGATATGGTCGAACCAAGCCTGTTAAGTGAGATTCATTAGACTGTACGTGAATGGTCAAGCCGGAACCGGAGATTCTAACGGGTTTAGTTGAGAGACACATCTTGGTGTGTAGGTCAAAGTGGCATGTGAACCCTTCAGTCTCAAGCTGGTTTCTCTCTTCTCCTGCTTACACATAGGAACTTCAATTTCAGAAGAGGGGGAAAAAGAGAAGTCGGATTCTGTCTTCTTCTGATACTGTTTGTTTAGTCCATTAATTTAACTTCGTTAGAAGCAAACAAAGAAATTTAGAAGCTCGAAATCTGACCAACTGCAGGTGTACAAATTGAAACGGGTCTTGAGAATGTTATTTAACTTTCTCAAGAAGAGTTCATTAGGAGGTTCGGAAAGAACAAGGAAATGCTATTACGCATAGCTAAACTTTTAACACAGGAAGCAAACGAGATGAACAACGCTTGGCATGTCAGCTCCAACATTTCTTGGCGTTTTGACTTGCATTACGCAGTGCTAGTTACTGGAGCATTATACTGTGACAAAGAAATTAATTCCAATTTGAGGCATTTGGCGGAATTTTAGTCTACTCACCTTAGAAATTTTTGCTGTCCTCATTCAAGGAAACAGATCAAACTGTTTCTGGCGTGGGCAGCCTGGAGCAGTGAAAGGTATCAGCTCTCATAATACGTGGAATCAATATGAATCGGAGTGGTATCAGATCAGATCTTTCAGAATCTAAAGCACTTGCTCCGTTTGGTGTCTTGCAAAGGAACGTAGTGGTTTGTCTAAAACTCTCTGACAGGAGGCCACAGTATAAGATAAGTGAGAAGGGAAGCAAAAATCATGCACATCCATCGTCTCCGTTTTGGCTCCTCCATTTGATGGTGTATGTCTATTACCTTCTGCATAACTGTATTGTGAAAGATGAAATTTGATTACAAGCGGAAGTTTGTGATGTGATTAATGAACCAATCCAAAAGGAGTATGAGACTATCTTAGTAGGTTGTCCTCAATGCTATAAATGATAGCGTCTAGGAAAAGGGGCGTGGTGATTTGATTGAGCTGAGGGAATGCACCTCCCGTGAATTCACCTGTTCTGATGATGACTGCTCGAACATTGCAGTCGGTAACTCATTTAACTTGTCCACGAAATTTCTGCACTGGTGCGACAAGTTTCATTTCATGGTGGCTTCATCATACCTTCTTGTGCAAGGCTTGATTGAGCATGTGATTCAAGATTTATTGGATGGTATGTGAAAGGTCAGTCCCTCAATCTACCATCTGAGATCCTTGCAGGTTTAAGGGGGAGACACATTTCAGAGTTCAGGTCAAAGGGGCGTTAAATTTTGTTAGTCTTGTTGGAAGGTTTTGCAAATCTATGCCATCAATCTTTCCGCCATTCGTTCTGCGCCCCCAAGTCAGTACTTCATTTGCCCCTTCATATGTTCAAATCTATATTTTCAATCTCACGTCCAATAGAAATGTAAAATTCATCTTGGAGATACTCGTCAAATATGACTAGAAAGGGACTTGCATGATAGAGACTGTATCCTTCAATGTCGCAAAGGGAATATAGATTGCAACAATGACGAGAAAACAATGGTCGAGCTTTCACTGAGTGTGAACATTTTGAGTCTTGTTCCCTGTTGATTCGAATAGCCACACTATAAGCTAAACTTACAGCAATCCAAAGAGAAGAATGTTACCCATCTCACTCTCTTTCAATGTGCAGCATTTATCTGGCATCTAGCCTGTTTTCTCTTCTCATTCAATCAAAGACTTTGACGACACTCGCTAGGATCTTGTTGAGAAATTTTAGCTGGACTTATGGCATTTCATTCACAAGGAATACAGCAGTTGTAAAATACATCTTCTGTTAGCTCAGACTAATGGCATTTTAATGAAAAGAAGTTGTTAAATCACTTGAATTAAGATTGATAATCTCATATAAGAGTTTGTAACTTTGAAAAGTGGATAAGCAATGCAAATAAAAACTGGTTATTTATCAAAATAACGGTGAGTTCGAACCAATCAACTAAATATTGGTTATTGAAAATAAGTATATCTGACTTGTTGACAAGTTGCTGGACAAACAGTAAACCGATCGCGTTTTTCTTACTACCAAGCTTATTTACAGTTTAGAAATATGGAAAAATACAAAGCAATAGAATTTTGCAGCACACAACAATAGAATGTTGCTTCAGTAAAAAGTTGAGGTGTATATCCAAAAACAGATGACAGAAAGCCAACTCTGTTGCCTTCTGTTATGCAATGACAATGAGCTCAGCCTTAAGTCTTGGAATGTCTAACAAGTCTCATTGCTTCCTCCAGTGTGTCCTTAAATCTATCCAAGTTGATCTTCACATTCTGGCCATCGATGTACACAGCCCTCCCTGCTACGTACCCCTTCGCAAAGATAGATGCAGGGTCGACAATCACCGGATCATCCGGCCCGTATACTTCAGACAGAGAGCTCTCCTTGGGCTCTATCTTATATTCCAGATAATGCAGATCCATTGCGGTCGCCGGAATTCCGAAAAAGTTGGTCGAAGGCCAGTCTAGTCCTAGTGGCACCACCTGAAATACCACTGCGCCATCTGGCAAAAAGATCTCGTTACTAAGACCCGCACCGTGGACTCCAACCAAAACGTTGCCTGAACCGACCATCTTCGCCCACAGCTCTAGATTCGACCCCAAAGTAGGCCCTGCCCTCACTACTTCAAAGCCCAACTCTTGTGCCAGTTCCACAACCGCGTCCTCGTTCAGGAATTTTCTCGTGTGGTTCCTGGAAATGAGGATCAGGACCGGCTTCTGTAGCTTTTCCATCTCGTGCACGTTCTTTAACTTCACATCATAAGATTCTCTGAGGAATTGCCTGAATTCGCGCATGGAGTATCCTGCGGGGACGTCGCTGGTGTTCAGGGCTAAAATGTTGTGGTACCTAAGTCCCACAACTGCCCCTGGAAAGCAGTGAACACTCCCATCGTCTAAATTGAGAGCCTCGTAATCAGACAAGCGGTTCAAAATCCTTGAGTATTTCTGAATCCACGAGGCATTGCGGTCGGTGGTGATGAACTTCAGCTGCGATTGGAAGTGCCGGCATGTGAGGAACAAGGGAATGACCATTTCGCTGAACTCGTGGAACCCGTTTCCTGTAACAGCCGTCGAGAAGATCACCGCCGGGATGCCGTGCATGAAATGGCAGGGCGGTGAATTAGCTGCGTCCCCGTGAAGTATCTGCACTGGAGTGACTGGTGTCATCATATGTTTGTCTTCTCTCCTCGCGTAGGGTCGAACGGAGCGCTCGAACTGAGATCCATTGGACAGTACGTGAACAGTCAACCCTCGATTGGAGATCCTAACGGGATTAGCTGAGAGACACATTTCGGTGTGGAGGTCGAAGTGGCATGTGAACCCTCCAACCTCAAGCTGGTTTCTCTCTTCTCCTGCACAAAGATGTGAGCTCCATTTACTGTAAGCGAAACAAGTACAAATAGACGACCGGGCAGAGGTCAAAGATGGAGTCTTTTGATTTGGAAACTGCTGTTTAATTCCATTAAGTTTGAGTACACATGATTCTTGTAGAAATATTGAGGCATACTTATGTTAACATGTCGACTTCATTTGAGATAAGCAAAGAAATGCGAAAGCTGAAAATGTAACCTATTACTAGTCTTCTGAGAAGATTCATGAGAGCGTCTCTCTCTATGGTCACTTCATCTACCTCTCTGGCATCATTCTTGCCCCTCCAATTTGGAATCTGATTCCTCCCTGAAATTCATAATCCTGATTAGGAACTTAGGAGTCACCTTTCGATGATCAATTGCATAACATGATATATAACAGCGAAAAGAGAAGTAACAAGTGAAGTCGAACTGAGAACCGAGATTACATGAAAGAAATGGCGAGTCCTTCGATACGAGAAGGGTGATACAGAGCGAAACCACAATAAGCAAACAAGCCATTGATGCTGCTCCAAGCACCGGGCGCTTCGACTCCTTCCCCATAATCTGTCAAACTAAAGCACATAGCCAAGTCTGCGGATTCTTATAGATCAATAAACTGAAATGAGCAATTCGTTGGGGTTAAGGTGTCTCTTCCTTTCTTAAAGATTCTTGCACATGTCTTCCTCTGCAACTGGGAAGCTTCGTAGGACTACCTGGGGATGACACAGAACATTAGCTGGAGTATCGTATTTTATTCATCAAACAAGTCTCACGAGGAGAAAAGAAGAGATTAATTTAATTCTTGGTATGGGGGTTAGCCTAATTATTTCTAATAATCTTAATTAAAGGTGCTGAGCAAGCTTTCGCTTGCTTTGGTGTGCTCAATTAGTGGACTTTCCCTCGGTCTACGTTTAAGTCTGCTACTGTATCTCGTAGACGAAGCTTGAGTAGATATGCATATGCACCAAATTGTCGAGACCTTTTAACCAGTCAGATCATTAATTTACGAAGAAAATTTGTTAATTTATATCAATCTACGAGCTGAACATACTACATTGTGCCGCATTTGAATTTGCTCCGGATGTTGTCATGGAATGTATTGTTTTCAAATATTGTCGACCCTAGATGATTGGTCACTTCTTTTCCGTCTTTTTTTGTCTTAAACGCATCATATAAGTAGGCGTGTACAAATGAATCGAGAACTGTCTCGCACAGAATCAGCGATTCCATGTTCCAATTTACTAAAACCGGTGAATACCGGTCCGGTTCCCGATTCTACGCGTGGAACCGCCCATCCGGATCAGACCGGTAATATATATGTGTGTATTAAAAAAATTCCAACAAAAAAAAAGAAAAAAATTTAAGAAAAATAAAAACCTTAAAATCCTTAATTTGAAACTCAATGCCTATCAACTGAGTGCTCGTCCCGGCTCACTCTCACCTTATCTGAGTTGTCTCTCTAGCTCTCACTTGTTGTCTAGACTCTCAAACTCAACATCAACTCACGTCATCAACTCTCGACTCCCATCGACTCACGGACTCAACTCTCAACTCTCATCAACTCATGATTGCGCCTCCTGCAGTTCATCGCCTCCCTCTCTCGCTCTCGATCACCTCCATTTGTGTGAACTTGGTGGGACCGGTTCCATGAATCCACCCGGTCTAGTTTCCGGATGGGTTCATGGAACCCGACTACGCCTCAACTTTCAACTCCTATCAACTCACGGCTTCAACTCTCAACTCTCATCAACTCACAACTACGCCTCTTGCCGTTCATCACCTCCCTCTCTCGCTCTCGATTATCTCCATTTGTGTGAAATTTGGTGGGACGGGTTCCATGAATCCACCTGGTCTGATTTCTGGATGGGTTCATGGAACCCGAGCGATTCCCGATTTTTCGGAACCTGTCTTTAGCGGGTAGTGAGAACTGCGCACTCGAACCATGCTCACCCTTACATGTAAGATCCTTGTAAAGTGAAATCGTGCTCCAAACATTAACTCTTACAACGAGATCTAGATGGCGACAAAAGGCGACATTAGCTTTGTTTGTTTTTTTTTTTTTTGGGTAAGGCAGATTAGCTCTGTTTGTTTATAGCTGTAACAATTAAGAAAGTGACTTTGAAAAGATAAAACAAGCCTTGGAAAAGGTGATAAAAAATAAATTACCAAAAAAGAGGAACAACGGAGACCAGATCCAATTTGACATTGACTTTGGGCCAAAAAGAGAAGTTTATGGTAATTTTGACAAAAGAAGAGAAAAGAAAGGAACGAGAAGTGTGGAAAAATCAGTCGATCTTCTTATTTTACCCATCAACACACGTTGTCCTAGCGTCACAATGTGCCTTTTGAAACATTATGTAAGATGATCTTATTTCATATTTATATGTTGCGATCTCTAGCATTACGTATTTGGTTTGTTTGGCACATGAGCTTGTGTTATTCGATCCATATTATATAGAACATCTGCAAAACGTAGTAATCTTATTTACATTGATTCAGACACAAATCACAGGTTATCCGACTAAACCTGAAGTTATGGAGTGTGACATTCCTACATGAACTTATCCAAACTATTGTACAGGTGGGCACCTTCCCAGGAGGTCACTTGTCCTAGTATTAATCCTGCCTGAGTACGCTTAACTTTTGGAGTTCCAAAGCTAAGTATTGTCTTAAGTCAAAAAGCGTCTCCTTGATTTAATTCCAGTTCACACACACATGTATATATCCCGGACACGGTTTACCTTGTTCGGCATGCAATTCGGTTCATTCCTATCTTTTCACATCCAAGAAGCCTGCTGGGAGCTGCTCCTTGTGTAGGCCCTCTGACCACAACGATCACTCCCCGCTTTCGTTAGACCGGATCATTTCGTAGAGTGTCCAATAAGTCTCATTGCTTCCACAAGTGCCTCGTTGAATCTATCCTAGTTAATCTTCACATCCTGACCATCCACATACACCACCCCGCCCGGCTTGTATACTCCCTCCATGTAGATCGAGCCGAGATCGGTGGAGTGATTGAGACTGTATATTTCCGACAGTGAGCTCTCCTGGCTCTATCTTGTACTCCAGTGTTAGATATCCGCAGCAGTCAAGGGGACTCCATGATAGGTCGCCGATGTCCAGTCCTGTCCCAGAGGCAACACCTGCACCACCACCGCGCCCTTTGGCAAGAAGATCGCGTTTGTGAGCCCTGCCCATGAACCCTACCGTTACGCTGCATGAATAGACCGTCTTGGTGAACCGGTCAAGGTCCGACATTGTATGGGACAATGTGCTGACTACTTTAAATCCCAACTTCTGTGCCGGTTCCGTGACCGCATTTCATTCAAAATTTTCCTTGTCGCGCGTCGCACAACTAGTATCGGGACCGGGGTTCGCCCCTTTTCTATCTCCTGTAGACTTTTTGTTTTCAGGCCATAGGTTTCTCTGAGAACCTGAATTTGGCATAGTGTGTCCTTCGGGGACATCGCTGGAATTTATTGCTAGATTGCTGTGGTACCGAAGTCCCACAACTGGCCCAGGAAAGCAGTGAACGTTTCCATCGGCTAAATCGAGAGCCTCGCAGCCGGACAAGTGGTTCAAAATTGTCCTGTATTTGTTGATCCACCATTGGTTGTAATCGGTGACTGACAAATTTGAGTTGCGACCGGAAGTGTCGGCACGTGAGGAACAAGGGGATGATGATTTTAATGAACTCGTGGAATGCGTTTCCTATGAATCCCGATGAGAAGATCAAGGTTGAAACATCGTGGTGATATTGCAGGTCGGTGGATCATCGGTGTTCCCATGAAGTATATGGACTGGAGTGACCTGTTTCATGGCAAATTCGGCTTCTCTTCTAGGATATGGTCAAACAGACCCCGTTAAGTGAGATTCATTGGACACTACGTGAATGGTCAAGCCGGAACCGGAGATCCTAACGGGTTTAGTTGAGAGACACATCTCGGTGTGTCGGTCAAAGTGGCATGTGAATCCCGTAGTCTCAAACTGGTTTCTCTCTTCTCCTGCTATACACATAGGACCTTCAATTTCAGAAGAGGGGGAGAAAAGAGAAGTTTGATTCTGTCTTCTTCCGATACTGTTTGTTTGGTCCATTAATTTGACTTCATTAGAAGCAAACAAAGTAACATCGTAGAAGCTCGAAATGTGACCTCTTACTAGACTTCTTAGTAGATTCAACAGAGGCTCTCTCTTCAGTGCCGTTCTCTACCTTGCTGGCATTGGAATTGCCCTGCCAATTTGGTAGCTCGTTCTCAACTGAAAATGCGATTCAGGTTGATCGAATCACATCTACAGTAATGACGATAGCGTGACATATAGGCAGGGCGAGACATATGCATGATGTCAAAACTAGGAACCCGTATTACATGATGAAACCGGTGCGTCTTTCAACACTGAAAGGACAATACATTGTGAAACCACAGTCAACAAAAAATGGTGGAAGGTGCATGGACTGTCAGCAGCTTCGACTCTTTCCCCATCATCTTTTGATCTGAAAGACATTGCCATTAAGAGTTGTAGCTACAATTTTATTAAAATGAGCATTTGATTGTCGTTAAGGTGTCCTATTCTTCTTAAGAATTCTGGTGTGTATTCCATTTTATCTTGGCTGTCAGCTCTAATAGAGTCGCGAATTCTGTTAGCTAGATTACAATAACTCGTAAACTCAGCAAGTCACCGGAGGAGCGTATTCATGAACATTCAGTTCTTTCATTGGTGCAAAATTTAGTTGAATACTGTGATCATCTCGTTATAGAATGTGTAAGGTTACTTTTGCTTTGATTTGATGTGTTCGTTAGCTGATATTTCTCATTCTACATTTATGTGCCTCACTGGATCTACTGCGTGGAAGGGACTTAACTAGCCACGATTTTCTTCTCTAGCCTTTACCGTCTAAATGAGGCCATGCATAAGATCTGTCACTGCAAAACGTTTAACTCCCATAGTGTAGTGAGCAACAGAACATGACAAACTCAATCGGATAATATACTTGAGTTCAATCAAGTTTGCATTCACATTGATAAAGTACCATGAATCTCCGTACAAGCTCAATTTGAAGTTAAAACTTTGACTTTCGACAAACTAAGATACCATAGACAACTCTGCATCAGTAATTTATCGTGTATGACCATATAAATGCATTCACGGTCTGAAGCATTTTTTTCACTTTCGCGTGACTAGGCAGACAATTTAGGTTCACCGATTCTGATACCCGAGCATCTCAAGCATAACAAGAACAAAGCGAAGTTCAACTAGTCGCGACTTTGAGCTCAACTGACGAGGAAAGATTAAGGAAAAGGGCAATCAGTTGCAAGATTAGTCCTTCAACAGATTTTTAGCAATCATTCAATATAGGAGTCCATTCCATACATCTAATCCAATCGTCTTTGCATAAAGTTCTCGAGTGTGAATAGTAAGGAGCTCAAAGCTGTATTTGTCGGCTCAGATTGTGATTAGAAGCGCAAATAGGAAATAAGAAGACTAACGAAAGCATATTGCCACCAAATTTACATGCAACTAGCCCATGTCTTGGGATTTCACACATTAAGACGCTAAACAATCACGATAATTAGATCTTCCCACTTAAGGAAGATATCCCATTCACACGTTTCTTTCCATCCGACTAAATGTTGGCGACTGATGTCAAAATTAGAGCCTTTGTCGAAGTACACCATCAACTCCCAACAAAAGATTATCCAGTATCAGGCCAAATTTCAGCTGGGACTTCTCATTAGATATGCAACAACGCATCCCAATAAGGCACCTGCAACAACCTGTTGGCAAACAAAGCAGGTAAAAGAAATAACGTGTCTCGTGTTTCAAGACCAGGCTTTTACTTCTGGCCATAAAGAATCAACCTTCTCAATTGAAGAGTGATTACACGGACGTGTGGTTCTAATTCATATATTAAAGTTGAGCACAGCAAACAGACAAAACTCAGGTTGCAAACCAAGAGCCCACTCCTAGTACAACCAAATATTCATCTGCCACAGTAACAATGTTATTGAGGAACAACATCGATTTAGGAAAAAATGTAATTGATTGAAACATCAAACTTCGGACACGATGACTCACATAAAGCCTCAAAACAAATCTATTTCCTGAAAAACCCTTTGTCCTATCTAAAAAGCATAGCTTCATTAATATTTACGTAATCTTACACCTCCAAAATAAAGTTTACACTTTTCTCATCAGTCATTTAAAAATTTATTGCCACAATACCATCCTCTAAGTCAACTTTATCATGAAGCACTGATCCCTGCAATTCTCCATAAAATATTACAGAAACAGACCCAAAATTAAAAGGAATCTCATTCACAATGAGGCATGACTAGATAAGTTCAATCTTAGATGAAATTGTCCCCTTAAAATTTCACATTAAAACGACAAGGTAACCTTGCCACATGCAGTCTTTTCAAAGAACATGGGCTTTGAAAACACTATGGATATATCATCTCATCATTCACGTGCAGCAAAACAGTATAAAGCTCCAAAATCTCATGCCTCGGAGTGTTCAATAATATTCACCAACAAATCAATTCATTACCAAAACAAATGCAGATGACCTCATTTTTTAAACAATTTCCGCATGAAAGAGTGTGTCAAACCTGAACGGGCGTATGCCCCAGTGAGTCTCGTAAGGGTTTAAAGCTGGACACGGGGTGTTCCGGGGGTAGTTCACACACAATTTGATTTAGCAACTGCAAGAACAATGACACAGTTACGAACCAACGGCAAGAAAAGAGTGCAGGTAACCAATATAATCTCGGGCCCACACCCATATAATGAGGAAATTACACCACCAATCCTAAACCTTATGTATGGAATGCAATCGAGTTCCAAACCCTTCAATTGGTTCAATAAAGTCCCAAACCTTTAGCAGAAAATACAATCGAGTCATAAACCTTTCAATTGGTTCAATTAAGTCCTAAACCTTTTCTAAAGAGTGCAATTAAGTCCTAAACTTGTTGAAGTGAAATTTAAGGATGCCGCATAGGCAATTTTCAAGGGACATATAGACAATTTTAGGTAATGCTCATGTAAGAGTTGATTGCACTTTTTGAAAAATGTTGACCAAATTGAATCGATTAATAGGTTTAGGACTTGATTGCATTCGTACATAAGATTTAGGACTTCCAATGCACTTTTTCCCCATAGATGACACACAAGAGCACTGCATATAGCTAGTAATACTACAAAATTGAATTGAACTAGAGATAGTTAACACACGGTAGTGGACAATGCTGATGGACATAGATCAGTGACTAAAGACAAAGAATCAAGAGCTTATCCAAAGAAGGTAAAAGTTATCACAGAAGATAGGCTGAGATTGGTGATGAAAAGAAGAATCTATCGTAAGAATTCCTACGAACAAAAGATGCATAGTGACATGCTCCAAATTCTACGGAAAATAAGGTACTGTGAATTGGATTAAATGTACTTACTTCTGCTTGGCGACCTGCATGAAGTCTTACACCAGAAGCATCATACATGACCTGTAAAACATTCCGATGATAGTTTATAAAGGCTAATAAATTGTAACTCATTATTGTTCAAAAAACTCAACTGCAAGGAAATGTGGAATGAATGCAACACTGACAAACAGAACCCCCCCCCCCCCCCACACACGCACGCACGCACTACCAAACAGACTAGCCCCACACACAGACAATACTCTCAGCGGCAGGCTGAGGATGGGTAACCTATCAGGCAATCAGCCCCACAATTTAGCTTATTTTACATAAATTGACCAGAACATGTTTGATGGTAACAAATGCTTCCCAATTTTATTCTCTTTTCCATGCAATGACATAAATATTAATAGCCATGTCTAAAGCTAATGCGAGCAAAAGTTGCATAAAGTAGAGCTTTGCAGCTGTACAAGCAAACCGACGAGTCCTGAAAGTAAAAATTGTATATCTTTGCTCTTTCAACGTGACATAAAAATAAAGGAGGACTCAGCTAAAAAAGTCCTCCATCAGCTGTTATGGCTACAATTGTCAAAGGAAAATAATGCGACAAGTTAGATGAGGATGAAGCTTCCAATTGTTGACACTGTCAGAGCATGCATCACCAGAAACTGAACAAGACCTGGTTATTGATTACATACAACACAAGCCAAGACCACCGCTATAGCAAATGCTGATCCTTCGAGTCCTTCTTGCAAACCAATAGCGACAGCAAGAGCCGTAACAGTAGCCGAATGTGATGATGGCATTCCACCTGAACCAAGCATTTTCCTGGAGTCCCATCTCTTCTCCTTGAGCCTGCACATTAAATGGCATTGTGAAATTCGAGAATTTGGGAAGAGAAACAAAGCCCAAAACTTTTCTTATAGTGACAAAACCTGTAATGTTTGCACAAAATAAGATAAATTCGATAGAATAGAACAGGAGATCAAACAAAATCACTTTCCAGAGGGCTTTGTCAAAGTCAAACCCAACATATCCTAGAAGGCTTTCCTGCGCTCGGCTCTTTAGCACACCACGTAATCATTGACCAACACTGCTTCAGCAACAACGCTAGAATGTAAATGCAAGAGAAAACCCGGACGCCCACAGCGCTAGAATCTAGGAAAGCAATTCGATCACCAGAGAACTAAACACGCCCGTCATAATTTTATCAAGCATCCGATGACCTCAAACTCAATCCGAACGACTTCCTAATGACCTCAGTGACTCCAGGCTCGACACGAACCAAAAACGAACGCGGCGAGCTCAATCAGCGCCTCGGCGCTTTCACGGGGAGAAACCAAATTCCCCACGAGGGGGCCAAAGAGGGGCGGGATGCCAAGAGGGTGTGTTACCAGCAGGTGAATGGCTTGAGGAACTGGGCGAGAGCCAGCGAGAGCAGAGCGGAGAGGAGGGGGGAGTTCATGGGGACGAGCGGCGGCCGCGACGAAGCGGATCGGAAGGCGGACGAAGCGTCGGAGGCCGTGATCACTTCGTTCATCGCGACGTCGACGGTCAAACAATGCACGGCGCCCGCCAAACGGAAGGAGAGAGAGAGGGAGAGGGAGAGTTGCGCAGAGAAGGAGAAGATTGGTTGATCGGAGAGGGTGGGGGCGGTCGGTTGGATTCCGATGCTTTCCCCCCACTCACTTCTCGTTCCTCCCCGGCCTTCCTCCTCCTCCTCCTCTTCCTCCCAATCTCTCTCTCTCTCTCTGCCGTTAATTGCACGTTTTCATTTGTCTTTAGAGATTAAAGGTGTGTTTGATTCGGCATTTCGAAACTCCTTAGGACCCGAAAGTCCCCCCGAGACAAAATTTCGGGTCCTTCGGCAACCATTTCCGAGGGGATTTAGGCCAAATGCTAGTACTGAGAAGGCTGAAACGAGGGTTAAATGAATTTTTTTTCTTCCAAAACTACCATCACCAATTTTTCGGTCTTTCAATTTTGTCCCTCGTTGCTGCTGTTCATCTTCTTTAAGCGAGGGCGGCCGACGAGGGCTGACGAGACCATATCTGACCGGCAAAGTGTCGGTGAGGGGTCGGCGACGGTCGCCTGGGTCGCACGACCTTAGAGAGGACCGCCTAACCCTCGGCCGACGATCGAAGGAGCCGCTAAAGGGATTGAATTCTTTTTAATAAAAAAAATTACAGCCAGAGCCCTTTGCAAAAAAGAATTATGGAACACTACTAAACACAAAATTTCTTTACAAATAATTTTTTATCAAACATAAAATATTTTTTAAAAGGGAAAAAATTTTTATCAAAACATAATTTATACATTTACCTTTTCTATGGGTATTTTGTCTTTTTGCTTTTTTTTTTTTTTTTTTTTTTTTTTTAAAATCATGATTATTTTATATCCTTTTAAAAATCATTTAGATTAAAGGCTTTTGCATATCCCAAGGCTCATATCTAAAAAGCCAAACCAACCTGGGCCATGAGGTCGGTTTCGACATCCCTTTTAATGTTGACTCGACGTTTTTCGAACGAAGTGCCATTATGTGCTTGTCACGTCATTAATTGACTCCTCTCACAAAAGGCAAATCCGTCCAACAGCAAAAGCAACTTGCATTTTCGTCCCGTAAGTTTTGGCAGCTAATGTAAGTCGCTGGCCTGACTTTTTTAAGTTTTGCAATTTTCTCTCTAAAATCTTGAAATCGGTTACAATGTCCTTCCTATTGTTGACTTTGGCCAATTTCATAAAAGGACCGCACTTTTAGTAAATTTTCGAATCTAGCCCATACTTTAGAAATAACTAGTCAAACAACTAAACTTACATTTAATTTCGGTAATGGCCTCCAAACTTTAAGAGTTAGCATGAAATCAACCAAAGTTGTATGTCATTTTAAAAAATTGACCCCTTAGGCTTGCAATATTGGGTGAAGACATAAAACAAATTAAGAAATGCAAAGAAAAAAATTGGCATTACAAGACACAATATAATATGCACAATATGTTTGTTAAGACAAATTAACATGTTTACTATGTAAGTCAATTATTTTTCTTGTTAAGTGCAAGTTATGACATTTTTATTTTGGTGCTAATATCAGTTTATAAGAACGCATAATACGAGTGTTAAACATTGACGCAACGTGACGATGAGCCAAATTTTTATTACTGAACATACTATATCATCATAAGTACTTTAAGTCTAAGAGTCCGACCAAAAAAAAGAGTATAAGAGTTCTTGTGTGATGGGAAGAACCAGTTTGGCAAGTTGTAACCTCTAGTAGAGACTACACCACGGCCACACGGATGTACCAAGTCTAGGGGATAAAATGTTATTCGCTATTTGTTGTGGGGCAGATTTCCCTCCATAAGAAAGCAAATAAGTCACTTGCAGGGGTGATCAAAAGAAACTAGTTGATTTTGGGCGATTTTCGAGGACACCAATCCTGTTGATGATTCCTAAAAATTGAAATTGATGAATTTTAGTCTGGTTCCAAATGTGGAACCACCCACCTGGGACCACTTGGACAAAACCGTCTTTTTTTTTATTTCTTACAAATCTAAAAGAAAAAACCCTAATCCATTCTTGAATCTTCACAAATTGAAAGAGGTCTTCGCTTAGTGGCTAGTGGCCAGCGATCAGTCTTAGGCTCATGCTCGCTCTCATTCTATTCACAAACCTGAACGGTAACTCACGATGCCCATTTTGTTCACAAAACCCTAATCCATTCTTGAATCTTCACAAATCGAAAGGAGTCTTCACTTAGCGGATGGTGTCCGACAACTCGCGACTCACACTCTTGCCTCGACGCCACCCTCTCGCCTGAGTCCTCTTGCTCAACTCTCAGTCGGCTCTCTCAGTCACGCCCTCACCAAGCAATGATTGACGGATCAACGAGAAGAAAACGAAGAAAAGAACCGAAGAACCCACCTTGGAAGCAATGTCTTCACCAATCGCCAGGTCGGTCTTGTAGTGCTGGCAACGGTAGATATTCCCTTCAAGAGCCACCACAAATACTCTCCCCATACCTTAAAGAATCCTCTATCCATATATGCACAAACAACCCAAGTCAAAGAGATAAAAAAAAAAAAAAAAAAGACATGCCTACCGGTTCTCTTGACCCACTCGGGAACCACATCAACCGGTTGGACTAATTCCAGGACTAAGTGGGCCAATTCCAAAAAATCTAAAAACTAGCCCCTCTAGTTCGGTTCCTATTCGAGGGTAAAAACTGGGCCACCCTACCCCTAGTTGGAACTTCAACTGAAAAATAATCTAAGTCAACGCTAGAAGGACATTGCAAATTTCAAAAAGTTATGGGGCAATTTACAATAAATGCCAAAATTCGGGGGAAGTATAATACACCCTAATAAAAGTATTGCATCCATGATAATACATTTGTTGCCAATTTTATTTCCTCTTACTAAAGAATTTCGAGTTTGGACTAGAATATTCATGTTACTCTAATAAGTCAACGATGCATAGATCGATCTCTTTAGACATATTTTACGATCCGTGATCATAAAATTTCATTTTCATGTTGCTCTGTTTTCACATGGCATTGTAATTTATTTTTTTTTGTTTATCATACTCTAACTCTGCTCTCTCTTAGACTTTTACTCTACCTCTCTACAGAGTGCAGAAGTGGACCCTCTGCTCCATTGAATTCCTTTGCAATTGGGCTGCATGCTCAGTGGATACGAGACATCGTAGTTTTTTTCTTTTTTGGTCGAAGTATTACTTTCCATTCAAACACTAGGAAACGTATCACAAGAGAGAAGATGACTAGAGTCAATACAAAATAAATCCCATAGAGGTAGGGGTGGTCTAGACATCCAGTTGGATGGTAGAAATCCTTTTTGATGATTTTTGGCTATCCAGTCTGCTGCTTGATTGCTGTTTCGTGGACAGTGGACTAGGGAAACCGCCTTTAATTGGGAGAGCAGTACATTACAATCAACAAAAAGGCTTCTCAAGGCCCATGGGCTTTCTGTCGGATTATAAGCGAGAAATACAGAGGCTTCATTGTCTGACTGTAAGCTAATCTTCTCTGCTGCTATTTTCTTCTTCTGCGCTGTCTCTGCCCGCAGACAGAGAAGTGCTTCTTTTACAGCGTTGCCTTCAGTTTCCAGCGGGGAGGAAGCAGACACAGATTTGGCGAACCCCACAATAATCACTCCCCTGTAATCTCTGCATATCCCAGCCACCGATCCCTCTGTTTTACCTTCGATCCAAGACCCATCAACGTTGAATTTCAGAATTCCAGGTTCTGGGGGCGTCCAACGTTCTGTCTTAGCTTTCGCTGTCCAGCTCCTCGATTCAGGTAAGTTTTGCTCCCGATAGTTTCTGTTTAGATAAACAGCTTCTTCCACAATTGTTCCGGAGCTTGGACTAATTTGATTGAATACCCAGGCGTTCCTTGCCTTCCAAATTTGCCAGAGGACTCCTGCAAGCATTTCCCGACCCGATTGTACTGAGCTTTTGGTGAGTGCTTCGTCGATCCATTTGTCCATCCTTGTTAGATTTATCGGTGATACGTCCATCTGGATTCTCGGGTCTGACCATATATTGTTGGTCCAGTCACAGAGGGTGAAGATGTGCTCCATCGTAGTTGGATAGCAAGATTTTTGTTGCTGGACAGCAGCCCCGGGATACTAGTGGTTAGCAATTGGCGTAGGCCCGATTTCTGGACCAGCAATTGGAGGTTGGCCTCTTTGATAGCTCCGTGGATTAAATATTTGCGGCCATGATGTTCGAATTGCATTGTGTGCTAGTCTTTTTCGATGGAAATTGGATTCCTCATTGACCCAAAAAAGTGGTGAATGGCGAAATATTTGTCTAAACTCGATTAACAACTGACAAATCTCACTTTTTTTCTAATGCCAAAGTTGGTTAAATGGACCTAGATTACGACTGCAAATTAAGCCTGCTTTCAATGAGACTATGTTGTCGTATCATCGCGTGTCTACACCCCATCCCATGCAATTCTTTTCATCTCTTTTCAGACCATCTAGAATTGGCTAGGTTAAGCTCCTGTTTCATCTGGAATGTGATTATGTATGAGTTCGACAGGACTAGCCTTGTATGGCAGTCCATCGTCCAGGCGGGGCAAGCACGGTAGATTTTCATTGAAATTCAATGAACAAGCCTCGCAGAGCAATTCCCTTCTTGAAATCGACCCGTTCGGCGAGGTAACTTCTCGCCCACAGTATTTACAGAGAGGAATGTAACCTGTGGACAACATTAAACGGGTCTAGATGGGAGATTTTGTACCCTGATTACTAGGAGGAGCCCCGTTAGGCCCGAGCATCGAGCCTATCGTGTTCGACCATCAATCAGATCCATTCTCTTACCGGGTTATTTTGCAACTCGAAGGGTATCATGGGAACGGGCGTTTCTAAGGTTTCTTGATGAACATATCTGTATCCCTCGATGACCTTCAGATGAAAAAGAAAAAAGAGAAAATCCCATCCGTCAGTCAATCGTGAAACCTTCGAATTTCTGTTCATTATACATTTTGTATAGGAGTAACGGTCCGTTACAGTCCGAGGATCCATCATTCGGGTGGACCATAGAACTGCTGCTCAAGGGAGCACCAAAGGCTTAAGGACAGACATGCGAACGTGGGAGGGCAAGAATACAAATCGCCATGTGCGCTCTGCACCAGCTACAGCCTCTGAGCTTGTCTTTCAGTACTGAATTGTCCCTTACCGAATTTTCATGGGCCTGATTTGGCATGAGAAGAGGTGGTTGCGGATAAGGCTGTCCTTTGAGATGAGATTACCTGGTCCCGTCACGTTCGCCCACTAAAGGTCCATTTGTTTAGCAAAAAAATAAATAATTCGAAAAATACTTTTCTAAAGACAATAGTTTAAAATAATTAGTCAATGAATTTTTTTTTATTATAGATAATAACTTGTGTCTAGATATTTTCATGGGCAATGAAAATATTTTCTGTTCTTTAATTTTTATAAACGATACAAACAATCATTTTTAGGAAGATATTTTTTAAATTATTTATTTTTTCGCTGGATAAATGAAACCTAAGTGTGTTTGCCGTTAATAGCAGTATTGCCATTATAATCCCAGACCAAACGAACGTGGCCAAGAGAAGCAAAACGATGAGAAATAAGAAAAGGCCTAGGTTCTTGTCGATCGTACAACACATTTGGACCACAAAATTGTCCTCTGGCCCCGCACCCCCTGCCTAAAATTTACTATTTGAAATAAGTGGCTTTATTAAAATATATAATTCTTCCAATTTTTAAAATGTCTTAGAAGTGTGAATTCCATTTTTAATGTACGAAAGCAGTGTCCGAGGAACACTCGTTAACAGTACCTCTGTTATTATTGCTTATATTGTGATTGGCGGAAGCAGATTGAAATACAAATAGTTTCGACATCTTCGATATTTTTGGTCACTTGAAAAAGTCAATAAAGGGAAGATATCCTTTTAACTTTTTAAGGAAAATACCATAAAAAGTTCTATATTATATCCATTATGATACTAATGCCTTAAAAAATTCTACGCGACGGCTTACGTCAATAATGAAAGGCAAACGGAATTAACGAATCGCCACGTGACAAAAATATGGCAACTCATATTAAAGTGGATGAAATATTCAGTTTCTTAACTCTTTTGTTTTCTTTTTTCCTTCCTCCTCTGTCTTCTCCCTTCGTTTGCACCTAGCCCATGTTTGCCGTCGTTGCCACCATCACCAATGTCGATTTCTCTTCGGCCATGCTCGACTATATTAGTGATGGAGCGACCTTAGATGCCCTTAGACCTGAGGACGCCCGAGGTCGAGGAGCCCTGATTTAGGAATTTTTTTTTTGTTTTTTCTTAATAGTATCTTTTTAATTGGCTTTTATAGTTTTTTTCTTTGTTTTTAATTTTTTTTGGCACCGCATCAGTCTCGCCTGTCCTAGAAAAATGTTTATATAGCCATGTCATATGCCACGTCAGTCTCGCTTTTCCCTATCTTTTAATTCTTTCATTAGCGGGGATTTCGCCTTTACTTAATATTACTCGCTTCGAATTTTGTAAAACATAAAGAACTTTTTTAGATTTATCTCAAATGCAGAGTGGCTTCACGATTCCAATAATTCGAGTTATTAATTAATTTTGACGGGAAATCTAAAAGAAAAAGAGAATGTGTTTATTTTAAGCTATGAGTAATAAATTAACTTAAGTAGGCCTATTAACTTAGTGTAAGCTCTTATCCGTTTTATTCCGCGTGTCGATCATCGCAAATCAAATTCCTAAATCAGATAATATTTCATGTATTCGCATTTTCGAAATATTATTTCTTTCGATTATTACTTTTCTCTTTCCGCGAAATTAGATCTTTTCGTATTAGTTCACCACCATTATATAAAAATGATGTGCATCCGATGAAATGCATGTGTGATCAAATATAAATATTAGAGGTATGCAAAACGGACTGCCCAAATTGGAATTTGCTCGGACCGATCGGTTTCGTCCGGATCTCGGGAGTGTTGATCTGGTTCCCTGTTTCTAAAAGAGAAACCGGTGTCCGGTTGATTCACCGACTACATATATATTTTCATTTTTTTATTTCTTCAAAAAAATTAGTAAAATATAAACTAAATCGTCAGTGAAGTACGTTTTTTGGTTCGCCTTTTCAATTTGAGGATCATTAATGATGTTTGATCATTCATGGTTAAAAAATAATCATTATCTCTCAATGATTGGAGGGTTTAGTTTATTATTTTCGATCCGCAATTTATAAATCTGCTTTTTAATTTTTGTTTATCGTAGAAGTTAGGGTCCTTTCGCAGAGATCTTTTTCTAAAAAAATAGTGGAGAAAAAAAAAAGTGACCGATTGTCCGATCTGGTTCCCGATTCTATGACCAATCAGCCCGATTCTCGGTTCTTAATTTTGAAAACAGGTAGAATCGGATCAAATCGGGAACCGATTATCCTAATAAATACGCAATAAAAACTCAACATATGATTTTCCGAAATACTTTTCCAAGCCTACTCATCCCTGCTAAATTCAAAAGTTCCAATGGATTGGGCACGTGAAGAAGGGAAGGGGGCCAGATCCGATCGGACGGTGAGGAGCGAGCGGATGGTCCAAGTCAAGCACATGGGGAGCGGACAAAAGAAGGTCCAGAGGATTATTCCACGAGCACGGCGGATCGATTTGATGCCCCGGCAAAAGATTCCTAATCCGCCCGCCCTTTTTCGGTCCAAACAAAAGCACATTGCTTCCCACTTCCTTTTGCACCGCTTATAATTCATTTGATAAATAGGCGAGCGAATATAAAGGAAAAAAACCACCAAAAACCCCAAACTTTGCCATCTGTGATACATTTATTTCAAATTTTTTTTGTGACACCAAAAATCCCGAACTTTGCTTTTTGTGACACATTTGCCCCAATGTATTTAGTCCATGGGCATTTTCGTCTTTTTTACTTTTTCTTTTTTTTTTCCTTTCCGGCGAGGGGGGCCTCGCCGGCGTTGGGCGAGGGCGGTCCTCGCCGGCGTTGGGCGAGGATGGTCCTCGCCAGATCCGGCGAGGGCGGCCCTCGCCGGCGTCGGGCGAGGTTCGCCCTTGCCTCGGCGAACGAGGCCGTCCCTCGCCCAGGCTCGGGCGAGGTCGACCCTCGCCGACGCGGCGAGGGTCGACCTCGCTGAGTCGGGCGAGGACGGCCCTCGCCGAGATCGGGCGAGGGCGACCCTCGCCGGATCCGGGCGAGGGCGACCTCGCCGGCGTCGAGCGAGGGTCACCCCTCGCTGATGGGCGAGGGCCGCCTCGCCGGTGTCAGCGAGGGCCGCCCTCGCTCGCCCGGGCGAGGCGACCTCGCCGGCGTCGGTGAGGTCCGCCCTCGCACGGGCGAGCGAGGGCGGCCCTCGCCCGATCTGGCGAGGTCAGACCCTCGCCAGACGTCGAGCGAGGGCGGCCCTCGCCGGATCGGGCGAGGGCGCCCTCGCTCGCCCGGCGAGGGTGACCCTCCCCCGCGACTCGGGCGAGGTCGACCCTCGCTCGCGACTTAGGCGAGGGCCGCCTCGCTCGCCCGAGAGGGCGAACCTCGCCGACGCCGGCGAGGCCGCCTCGCTCGACGCCGGCGAGGGTCGACCTCGCCGGATCGGGGCGGGCGCCTCACTCGCCCGGGCGAGGGTCGCCCTCGCTCGGGCGAGCGAGGGCGGCCCTCGCCCGACTCGGCGAGGGTCGACCTCGCCCAACGCCGGCGAGGGTCGACCTCGCCCGAGTCGGGCGAGGGCCGCCCTCATTGGATCTGGCGAGGGCCGCCCTCGCTCGATGCCGACGAGGGCCCCCCTCGCCGGATTCGGCGAGGGCAACCCTCGCCCGACGCCGGCGAGGCCCCCCTCGCCGGAAAGGAAAAAAAAAAGCAAAAAAGACGAAAATGCCCATGGACTAAATACATTGGGGTAAATGTGTCACAAAAAGCAAAGTTCGGGGTTTTTGGTGTCACAAAAAAAAGTTCGGGGTAAATGTGTCACAGATGGCAAAGTTTGGGGTTTTTGGTGGTTTTTTCCCGAATATAAATTATAATATTATATCGCGAGTATTCCGAATTGTCGAACATATGCTTCTTCCAATGGACATCAACTAATAGGCATGCGGCTCTACTGGTATGACTCCCGTGACCTATAAGAGTCGGAGTAAAGATCAGAAAGTGAGGAGAGTTAAAAGATAAGAGAAATTCAAAAAAAAAAATTAATGTCATCAGTGCCATTCATAAACCTATATGGTTGGTACCATATGTATGGGGTCCTTTTGCTTTAACAAATTTCACTCTCCATGATAAATACTAGGATCATAATATATATTTGTATAGATTATAACGTCTCGGATCATTTTAAATTTCTTCTATATATCTTCTCGTTCTTTTTCGATGAGAAATTCGGGTGAGCTTTTCTCGTACCTTTTTCACTTGGTTTCAAGAGAAATTGTACACCCTTCTTATATTTTTGATTGCGTGTAATTCTTGTGTTTTTTACTTTAAAAATTGATAAAAAAAAAAAGACTTATTCAAAAGTTACCGATACGTTAATTTTACCTTGAGATTTCTTAAGATCTTACAAATATCACTTTTTTTATTTATGGATAAGTAAGGAATTCATGTTTGAGAGAATTCAATCCACCCATTTGAGAAGGGTGAAAACATGTGTATCTCTATATACCCTATCAAAATTCTTTTATGACCGTTTATACGGGATTACGAAGGATCGTGCTAATGTCATCAGTGAATTTAACGAAGTATTAGCACGATTTTTACTCGAGCACGGCAACATGTTGTACCGTCCACGCAAGAATGCCCTGTGTCTCATTGCCAAACTCAACTAGACAGATTCCAACCTCCCGAGACGGTCGTGGTGGGGGGTGCCGCACGTGAGCGTCGCGGCTCGCTCACACGTCGCGCGACGAAATTTCCCGCGTTCCGCCAGGCTCGGGATGTCGGGGCTGCGCCGAGCCTCCTGGTCGGGGAGAAGCTTCCGCGCACCGGGTCAAAATCCCCCCCTGGCCCTCAGATTTTTTTCTGCTTCTCCGAACGCAAGACTGACGAAATTTCCCAAGGTGGACTGTTGTTTTGTCGAGCCGACTCCGAGCTTCCGCCCTAAAATTCCAGACCCTTACAACGAAAGGAAGCCACGCAGTGCTTGTTGCCGAACGACTCTCTTGTCTTGTTCATTGACCGAGCGATTTCAGCGTTCGTAATTCATAGACGTGTCTTTCCTTAATTCATAAGTTCGTGGAAAAGTATATGGGCAAATAATACCACAAAAAACCCATACCTCGAAAAAAAAAATTTATTGCAAAAAACCCTAAACTTGTCCATTACGTCACAAATACCCAAAAAAAATTACATCACGAATAAACTCAAACTTATAAATGTATTTTATTTTAGTTCCATCCGAGATATATTGTCACACCGGTAGAAGTTCGGGATTTTTTATGACAAAAAAAAATTTGCGGTATTTGTGTCATGATAAGCAAGTTTAGGTTTTTTAGTGATAAAAAAAAGTTCGGGGTATTTATGTCACAATGGATATAGTTTGAAGTTTTTTTGTGGTATTAAACCAAAGTATTTATTAATTTGGAAAAATTTGCCCAAATGTATTTGACCTAACTTGCTCTCCGCTATTAATCTTTGAATGGCATTAGCTTTTCTTGAAAGTAAGCGAGGTTCCGACAATGCATATAATAAAGCTACGTATCGATAGTGATCGGCGATTAATAAATTGACATGAATGGGCGTTCTAGTGCGATAAGCCTCTCAAGGAACGCGCCGATTAGTGAATCCTGTAGGATACACATAAATTGTGATCTCGGTCTTATCGATTTTAGTGTTTTCGTATATTTCCCTGAGAGCATGATAGTCGAATTAGAGGACTTCATAGACATAGCAGGAAGGAATGTGCTACTCGGTTTTTATCGGCTTAGAGAACTCTTATGCGATTACTTGGATTTGAACGAACGATGCACGCGTTTACCCTGTTCAAAGCTTCAACGCCTTTGAATAATAGCAGATCTTTCAGTACCTAAATAAGCTAATTCCATAAAATGTTTCTAAAATTTCGACAACGTATCCAATATAATTTGTGTGAGAGTGTAAAAATGTTCAATGTACTCCCTGAACTTGAATTAATGGAAAGGACTGTATTGAACATTTTTATATAGTTCAGGGATTGAACTGAACATGTACCAAAAGTTCAGGGATGATATTGAACAAATTAAAAGTCCAGGGACCACATTGCACATTTTATTAAATTTTAGGGATTACATTGAAAAAATTAAAAGTTCAGAGATCAAAATATATATTAAATTAAAATTCAGAGACCGTTTGTGTCATTTTCCCCAGTATATAATTGTTTTCGTAGACATTGGACAGGACGGTGGGCGAAATTTATATTAAAGTCGCCCTTTTTCTTTATCGCAAGATTCTCCCACGCAGTCCAATCCCAAATTTTATAATCATATAAAAAATTTAAATTATTAACTCCTGTCACGTACGGCCAACACTGACATTCACAATTAACAAAGACTTTTTTAGCATCGGAATCCGAATATTTTGCCAACGTGCAGCGCGAGGGCGGGATTAAGATACTCACGCGCGTGCGTTCAGAAGTTCCGGACGCGCGTGGGCAATTGGGGGGGGGGGGGGGGGCGGAGATGGACCCCACCTCGGGCTTTTTCTCTCCAAGCCAAAAAATGGGTGGTTGTAAATACAGCAGCACCTTCGGAGTATATGCGCCCTGACTGCGAAAAAAAAACCAAGAGAGATTATAATAAATTAATAAATATATAAAAAAGTTAAAGTGAATAAAGCAGGAACTGCAAGTCTGCAATATCATAGGATTGACCTTTGACTTGATGATGATTTTTCTCTTTTGTAGTACGGGCGATGCTTTGGATTAATTATCGCGAAGCAAGTCAACAAGTCAAAGTCTACCTCGGTCATCATACACGGACGTGGAAACTTAAGTAAGATGGTTTAGATAAAGAGTTATGCAGAATTTTTAATTGTTAATTTTCACACCTAACACACAATCAGGGTTGATAAGCCTCGTCAGGTTCTTTGGATTCGTCATAAATGGGAACGGCGCAATTTCCAAATGATGGTTCCATCGTGGCTCAGGGCGCGATTTATTTAGCGAAAAATAAATAATTTTAAAAATATATTGTTAAAAATAATTATTTATACCGCTTACAAAAATGAATGAGTAAATAATAACTTTATAAATATTATAATTATTTTGTAGCGAGAGCAGTATCTTCGTGATTTTTCGAACTCTAACGTAGACGAGCACCCCTGATGGATACGGAGATGTGAACTCGAGGATGATTTGAAATTGACTAATCATAATTGTTGTTATTTGGAGTCGGTGAGAATGATAATTCGCTACTTAATAAATCAGGCACGCGTACTTGGAAAAAGAGTTGAACATTAATTAAAAAGATAAATTCCCATATTAAAGGGAGATTATTGCTCCATTTGGTTCAGCATTTGGAATGGACTTTAGGACTCTAAAATTCATTGGACAGATGCAAATGAATTTGGTTTGTTTTTTGGGAAACTTTGGGGAAATGCAATTACATTAGCCTTTTACCCAAAGTAGGTCTGAAGGTATTTTTGAAAAGTAGCATTCTCGAAATGCAAATCTTGGCCCTATTCACTGTTCATCTTCTCCGCGATTTGCATAGAGTAGCTGGACGGAGGTCAGTGACCACCGCTTGAGGTAGGGCAATCTCAAGCATTGTCTAGGTTGTGCGACCCAAGGGACGCTTGAGGTCGTGCAATCTCAGGTAAAGCTGTCTTGCGGCTAGATCTGGACGTCGGCGACTGAGTCTTGCCATTTGAGAGTTTAAAAAAGAAAACGACGAAAGCCATTCACAAGTGTAATTTTTATCAAACGGTATTTAAGTTAAAGTCGCATCCCAACGTACTTCAAAAGACTTTTGCATTTTTCCAAAAAAACGTTGTCGAACCAGGCGGATCCTATATCGCAAAGCAAAGTTTTCGATTCAGGCCTATGATTTATGCCCCTAATTTTCTATTGATTTGCGAAGCACCGTGCCAAATTGTTATTAATTTATTAAGAAAACGAGATATGTGTCAAGGAGAACGAGAGAAAATGGGAAAAGGATCCCGGGCGTTCTTCGTCCATCCGGTCTGTCCTGCGGTCCATCTTCTTCCTCGCGAGCCACCACCCGATCGTACTCGTGCGAGCAAGCGAGAGCACGCAGAAACGCACGACACACAAACACACACATCTCTCCCTCTCCCTCTCCCTCTCCCTCTCCCTCTCTCCCATATTCAGAGAGAGAGAGAGAGAGTCACAATTTCACCAGGTCCACTCAAACACAGTACCCACAACCATAACCACATCCACCTGTCTCTCTCTCTCTCTCCCCTCATATCATCTATATAACGCCACCTCCGCTCCTCAGCCTCACCACACACACACACACACACACCTCCTGCATCAATCTCCCTTTCTCCCTCCCGACCTCTCCCGTCGCCGGGGCCTCCGATCGTCGTCGTCGTCGTCGTCCCTCCTCCGCCGCTCCGGCGGGCCTCGACCAACCACCGGCGCATCAAGGGTTTTTGGCAGGCCGGCGGGGGGGTAAAACCCGGGACAGTCGAGTTGCAGACATCACGGCTATACACGGAGCAACGCCGCCGCTACTCTTACATGCCCGTGCCGCACGCCGCAAGGGTCGTCGTTGCGTGACCGCGGACGTCGGCAACCTTTCGCCGCACGGCGGGCGCGGCGCTCTCCCCTCCGAAGGCGGCAGCCCCTCCGATCTCCTCTTCCTCGCCGGCGGCGGTCCCCTCTCCCCCTCCCTCTCCCCCTCCTCCTCTCCCCTCTGCTAGAGCCATTAGGGTTTTTGCCTTTTGTTTTGCACAGAGGCTTTAAGTTTTTTTCGGTATTACTTCCGTCCGGTTTCGCCTTTGATTCGTTAGGGCTAGTGTCGCCGGGGTGTGGAATTCGATCTGTCCGGTTCCGGTTGCTTGAGAATCGCTAGGGTCTTTTTGGTGCTTAGCTAGAAAGAGTAGGAAAGATGATGCTCAGGATTAAGAGGGTTCCGACTGTAGTTTCGAACTACCAGAAAGAGGAAGCTGAGGAGGGGGCTCGCCGTGGAGGGGGTTGCGGCCGGAATTGCCTCAACAAATGCTGCATTCCAGGTAACTTACAGCGGATTCCCGTTTGGTCGTGAGGACTCCGGTGTCTTGTGAATTGCGTGCATGTGGGGTTAGCGGATAGAGGTTTTGACTGTCTGGCGTATGGTATGAGCAGGGGCGAAGCTCCCTTTGTATGCTTTCAAGAGGGTGAACTTTGTTGCTGGTGAGAAGGCTCTGGCTGTGGGTGAGAATCCGGAGCCACCCGTTGCCTTTCTCGACTCGCTCCTTCTGGGGGAGGTAAAATTTGTTTAGCTGAACGACAAATTGATGGATCTGGAATGATGTTTATATCTATGCAGTTCTAGTCTTGAATTAGATGAGTTGAACTGGTTTACAACTTCACTGTAGTGGGAGGACCGCATGCAGAGGGGCCTATTTCGCTACGACGTAACCGCCTGCGAAACTAAGGTCTCTTACTTGCCTCTCTATTTTATTGGGGATTCTCATCCAACAATGTGTACTTCAAGAACTTGATGGAGATTATGAGTTCATTCTCAATTAATGCCGTGATTTTGTTGCAGATCATACCTGGTGGGCAAGGATTTATTGCCCAGCTGAACGAGGGTCGCCATCTCAAGAAGAGGCCAACTGAATTCCGTGTTGATAAGGTCCTCCAGCCCTTTGATGGAAGCAAGTTCAACTTCACTAAAGTTGGGCAGGAGGAGATCCTCTTCCAGTTTGAAGCAAGTGAAGATGGTGAAGTGCAATTCTTCCCAAAAGCTCTGATCGATGCGGACAACTCCCCTAGTGTCGTTGCTATAAATGTAAGAATTCCTTTACCTGCACTGAAATCTTTTGTAAATCGCTTCAAGTTGCTTGAACCAGCTTAATGACCAATCCACGATCGTTGTCCTTACTGAACAGGTCAGTCCCATTGAATATGGGCATGTGCTGTTGATTCCTCGCGTCCTCGAATGCTTGCCTCAGAGGATTGACCGCGAAAGCTTCTCTCTTGCACTCTATATGGCTGCAGAAGCTGGGAATCCATACTTCCGTCTTGGTTACAACAGCTTGGGTGCCTTTGCCACCATCAATCATCTCCATTTTCAGGTTTGTATGTTGGCTATCATCTTAATCTTATCGATTTAGTTTGGATAGAGTTTGTTTACGCCACAGCAATGTTTATATTAATTGGATAAGTGGAATTGTTACAGGCATACTACTTGGCGGTTCCCTTTCCTATAGAGAAGGCTCCTACCCAGAAATTAACTGCTTTGGAAACTGGAGTTACAATCTCTGAACTTGTCAATTATCCGGTCAGAGGTCTTGTTTTTGAGGATGGAGACACCGTGCAAGATCTATCCAATGTAGTTTCTGACTCCTGCATTTGCCTCCAAGATAACAACATCCCCTACAATGTCCTGATCTCTGATTGTGGGAAGCGGATTTTTCTCTTACCCCAGGTAATCAAATCGGGCCTGCCTTCTCTTCTAGTTACCTGTTTTTATGCCTTTATGTTCTTCTTTGAAGCTGACTTTTCTACTCTGTATTGATCTCTTAACAGTGCTACGCCGAGAAGCAAGCTCTAGGGGAAGTGAATCCAGAACTTCTGGACACCCAGGTGAATCCAGCTGTCTGGGAAATCAGTGGGCATATGGTCCTGAAGAGGAAGAAGGACTTTGAGGAGGCATCTGAAGAAAATGCTTGGCGTCTTCTTACGGAGGTTTCTCTTTCTGAGGAGAGATTCCGAGAAGTGAATGCTCTGATATTTGAAGCCATCGCATCTGTGGGAAATGGTGGGCAGGACATCACTCCCAGCACGATTGACAAGCCTGATGTGGAACCTCAAGCACCGGAAGATGTTGATGTCATGAAGCAGAGCTCTCGCCCTGCAATGGTGGCTGGAACGCAGGAGTGCCTGGTCCTGCAGTGAGAACTGGGTATGTGAGGGAGAGGAACTTTTACTGTCTGTATCTACAAGCCAACCGTCATGGTTGGCATATTGCAGTATTGGTACCCCCCTGTGGATGCTACTAATTGATGGAATAAGCAAACCGTGTTTGCGCGCTACGCTGTGTATTAGCAGTGTAGCTGCTTGTGTATGCCGTGTACTATTTCCTCTTCATGTGGTCCGGGGCGTGTTCTTTGGATGTCCACTGTTGATTATGTGAACTGCTAAGTCATATATGCTTGGTAGAGGATGATCCTTTGGTCTCAATTTTGCGTGTGAAGGATGTAAAGATTGGCTGCTTCTATATGCCATTGATTTATCGGCCGGGTGAGTTTATCCCGCTCGAGGATGCTTCAGATTCTTGCTCGAGTCCATCCGATTCGGGAGTGCACAAGTTTCTTGAAATAGGAAATGGTCGGTTTCATACACCTATAATTGTCGATATAAATTATGAATCTAGGACAAGTCTTCCTGTCATCTAGGAGAGACTTTGGAATGATACTCAAGAAGGTGGACCCGGCCCTCTTAGATGGCTAGCAGTCTGCATTGATCATTATCTGGCTACTTGATCAGATTTATTGGAGTAGGAATGTGCGGAATCATATGCGATCTGCCTCGACACTAAAACTATAAAAAGCATGGGATCACCGTAAATTTCGAGCCTTTTCGAGTCGGTTCAATGCCGAGCAACTTTCTTTGGTTCGGATCGTTGACGAGAGAATCTGGGTCGGGTTTTCTTTCGATCATTAGATTAGAGATTTCATCAGAATTATAATAACTTACTGGAACAGAAATTGAACCTGGAAGCCTCGTGTTTTTTGAGGCCCAAAGGCGCAACTTTTTGTCTTGCCATGATAGCACATGCGATGGCCTATCTTGCTTTTTGAGTAACAAAGCTTCAAAATTGTCTTGTCAGTTCTAGTTTGATACCATTCACAGTGGCTTACTCCACTTTTTATGGCGTAAAATTCTTGATTATAAAGTCTCTAACGAGAATATTCAATGTGGTAACAACGATTTGGGGAGAAAAAGAAGATCAATTCCATCATTTGAGGAAAATAGATTTGTAATTATAGTTTTGTAAAGTTATTGTGGGGTGAATATTTCGAAAAATTCAAAACACTCTCCAAACATACTTTTATTATTTATCCGCTTATCCATTTTGTTAAGGTAATCGCCGGTATCATATGTTCGTAGTGCATAAACGATGGACATACAAACAATATCAAAAGATTTTCAAACTAGCGATGTCGTTTAGTTTCATCACAAAACGTGAATCGTCCACTTACACTGTAATTCATTGTTGGCTTGAGATTGTCCTCGATGCGAAAATATAAGTATTGCTTTATGCGAATAGGATGAACTCACGACTTATATAAATATATATTATTGTTTTTCATAATAAAAGATCAACAAAACTTAAATCAAACGGAATTAATTGGTATAATGCGAAAGGTTTTCATCTTTTTGGCATAGTTTGATTTCTCCATTCGGAGTTTCCGCACGGACGGTTTGATTTTGGGGAACTATTGATGAACCACATTGGTAACTTCATCAAAAGCCCTGCTTTAAATGATAAATTTCATTTTCCCTCAATCACGCGTCCTCTAAATTAACTTTGAATGAAACTCTCTTTTTATTTTCCTGGTCCCAACGTTTTAAAGAGCAGTTTGAAATTGCTTTCCTTTTTTCAAGAATGCCCTACGGACCTCGCTCTTTTTCCGAAGCCAAGCCGGCGTCTCTTCCTTCTTTCTCGAGCAGACACTTCGATTCTTCCGTGAATTACGTTGGTATGCTCTTTCCACCATCGCATTGCTTACTGGGTACCGCCTTAATCTGGGGCATGCGTCTCCGTTGCTGAGAAAGTTACGGTCTTTATTTGAGAAGCGCTGGAAAGCTATCTCGATTATTTGTACTCTGTTAGGCACAGCTGAGCAGATGAACGTTGGTACCCGATTGAGCACGCCTCGCCTGGACATTGGCAAAATCTTCAGATGCTTTTTAGCTGCCTGTCTTATCCAGATTTCTTTGTAATGCAAATTAGAGCAGATACTGAGAGCAACCCCAGAAGCAGATGACCTCGACCGTGAAAGCTTGAATCTTCCTGGGGTCTGATTTGATTTGCTGTCTTTGTTTTTGTCTAATTCGAGTTCGATTTGATTCGTTATTTTCACAAGTTGGTATCTGTGATCATGTTAAAGTTAGACCCGTCAAAAAAGCCCATATTTTGACTGGTGTTTACTGAAAGTGGGTCCATAGCTCACTTCAAAGTAGAAATATGGGTTATGATGGGTTTTAGTCCCACTAAACTAATAGTAAAGACTCGTTTTTTACGCATTGAAGAGAGAGAGAGAGAGAGAGGGGGGTGTCATCGCTTCGCATCGCTTGAGGGGGATTATCCCACCGCCGTCGGAGATGGCGATGGCTCGGTCGCCATTGTCAAAGTGCGCTTGAGAGAAGGAGAGAGCGAGAGTGTCTCTGCTCGAAGGTGGTTCCAGGTCGTCCGCTCATATCCTCGCACATCATCATCGAGAGTCTCTGCTCGATCGGATTCGATCCTCGCTCGTCTCTTCTCTCTCTCTCTCTCCCTCTTCTACTCCATCAATCGCCACTCGCCAATGATAATGACGATTCAGTATCCTTTGTCTTTGTTGCCCCTTAAGTAGCGAAACGGGTGTAATGCAGCCAATGTGCGCATTCTTTTGGACTGACCTCTAACTGTTTGTGTTTATGACTGAGGCGTCCAAACCAGAAGTAGATTTGTTTGCAGACATTCCGAGGGTGAGGACTATACTGTTTGACCTCTCCGTTTGCTCAAATTCTTTTGGGCAATTAGAAATTATTGATACCGTTGAATCTGAAATGGGTTCTTTTTTGGTTCCTTGAGAATGGGTCCATCCACGAACTTCCATTCATTATTTGCATATGCTTGCCTGAAGGGCGAGTCCCTAATGTGGTGGAATGTTGATTTGTGCGTTCTAGCGTCACAAAACGTCCATTCTTTGCTTCTATGGTGATTGACTCACTCCGAAAATTCTTAAAGTAGTTATTTTTATGTCTGAGGGGGCTTGCAGTTGGTTTGTCTGCTTGGTTGAGGATATGGTTAAGGGCTTGGGATGGTGTGGTTTGTCATCTCTATCTTGCTATGTAAAGTCGAAAGTCAAGCCTGTTAGTATTCGAAAAAACAAGTGCAGATATTATCTTAACTTGACTAAATGGAAAAAGATGGGTATTGAAACTTGGTTTATGTTGGTTAGTATAATGGTTTGTAGCCTTGAACTCTCGTGAAAGACTATTCTGGACATCCATACTGAAGCTTGATGTTTATGAAGCTCCATATTTAAGCACTGATGAACATTACATATGGCACCCTGAAGTCGGCTAGGCTAGTGTAAGTACAAGATGTTTGTATGTATGCATATATTTTAACTTTTTCTAGTGTTTATCTCTCTCTCTGGCAATATGGGTCGGGTTTGGGTCACTTAAAATGTATTGAGTAAAAATTGGTCGAACCCAAACCCGACCCACCCGATTGACGGGTCTATGTTAAAGTGCCACTCAGAAGGAATTTGTCAATGTGCTTCCTTCTGTTGATACAACTAGAAGCTATTTCGCTATTTGAGACCCTAGAGTTCGCGTAAAAGGAATCAGGCAAATTGTGGGATGCATTCAAATTAATTATGATCTGAATGTTTACTCGGACCGTGCAAGAGTTCTTGTTTCGGTTTGTCTAATGTGAAATATCTTATTTCTTCTGGCTAATATTGTGATTCAATTTTTGTAGATCACAATGGCTACTTCTTCCTCATTCTCTGCGTACATGGTACAAGGGCAAACGATCTGTCCTGAAGCTAGAAAGTCCCCCCAATGCCTGTTCAATACATCCACCTCTTCGTGCAAACAGTTGGTTCAATGTAATGCGGTTTCTTTTTCTGCTTATATGACACAGATGAGGTTGTCATCCTGTAGAAATCCGTTGAAGTTGGCTATGACTGAAAGATCTTCACAGAGAAAAGCAGTCTGTTGCTCAGCCATGGATGTAGACAATTCAAGGGCTTCGTTTTTGCCTGGAAAAAAGTTTCAACTCAACGATGTGATTGAAGCTCGACAGTTTGACAGAGACACTCTTAGTGCTATTTTCGAAGTTGCACGTGACATGGAGAAGGTCAAACAGAATTCACCTGGAAGTCAAATTCTCAAGGGTTATTTGATGGCTACTCTATTTTATGAGCCCTCTACCAGGACTAGGCTTTCATTTGAGTCTGCCATGAAAAGGTTAGGTGGTGAGGTTTTAACCACTGAAAATGCGCGCGAGTTCTCATCGGCGGCAAAGGGCGAAACACTGGAAGGTGAATTTGACTTGTGTTTCTGCATGACTACTTAGGATGTTTCTATGCAATTAAGCATCTGATTTCGTTGCTTGGTTTGCAGATACGATAAGAACTGTTGAGGGCTATTCGTATATTATTGTGATGCGGCATTTCGAAAGTGGCGCTGCGAGAAGAGCGGCAGCTACAGCTGGAATTCCTGTCATTAACGCAGGGGATGGTCCAGGACAGCATCCAACTCAGGCGTGCTTTACAGTTCTTTGTTATAAGTGTCTATATGATAATGCAATTAGCATTGACCAAGTTCTTGGTTACTTTAGCATCGATCTGGCATATGTGAAAAACTCTGTACTGTTGAATTACATTATGTCCTACTGAGGAGGGATGTTGAGCATTCTTGAAGTTTTATTGCTTGGTGATGATTAGCTTCACCCTTATACTTCTTGTTGATTTTGACATTGGTATTTGTTTTTCGGATGAAGATTGTTATTAGGCACACCTGACATGTCAATATTTTGGCTCTGGGTCAGGCTCTTTTAGACGTGTATACGATTGAAAGGGAGGTTGGGAAGCTGGATGGCATTAAAGTAGCGCTTGTAGGTGACCTTGCTAATGGAAGGACGATTCGTTCACTTGCATATTTGCTCGCCAAGTACCAAGGCGTGAAGATTTATTTAGTATCTCCTGACGTTGTCAAGATGAAGGTAGGCACTGATCTTCTTTGCATACTTATCTTCATTGGGCCTCCTATTCTCTCTAGATTTACAGAAACCAACTGATAAGAAGTTATGCTTTGTATTTTGACCCAGTAAAATGAATTAGTACTTCTGTTTTGGTCTTTTTAGTATTTGGAAAAATGCTGTGAAAAATCAAGGCTCCTTTCTCACTTCTCGTGTTTGAGCTATTGGGAAACAGGATGCAAGTTATTAAGCCCCATAGCTTATGCGATGTAATTGTTTCATCAGGACGACATTAAAGAGTACTTGACATCGAAGGGGGTGGAATGGGAAGAGAGCGCTGATCTAATGGAGGTGGCTTCTAAGTGCGATGTGGTGTATCAAACACGCATCCAACGCGAGCGTTTTGGAGAGAGAATTGACCTCTATGATGAAGCGCGAGGCAAGTACATTGTCGACAAAGATGTGATGAACGCAATGCAGAAGCATGCCGTGGTGATGCACCCTCTTCCTAGGCTGGATGAGGTAATTTCTCGCCCCTCTCTATTCATGTACAAGGATCCGGTGTTATTACAATCCCCGTGAAGTCCAAGCTTCTGATATGCAGTAATTGATCCCTTGGTTCTTTTTCTCGTTGCACGACGCTGTGCAGATTACGGTGGATGTCGATGACGATCCCAGGGCCGCCTATTTTCGTCAAGCGAAGAACGGTCTGTACATAAGGATGGCTCTATTGAAGCTTTTGCTCGTCGGATGGTGAAGCGGGAATATTTAAGCTTCCAACAGTTTTGTTCTTGACGTGCGAACTTCTGAGTTTTTCTCGTTTGTTTCGGGAAACAATTCAATCACATGATTAATGTCGAAGTTTTTGAGACTACACTGGTTGAGGAGAAAGTATAATCTATCAAGCTTTTCTCGTTCAACTTTACCAGTTAATTCTTGAAATTTTCACAATATTCGAATGAGGAGCGAATTATATTTTGAAATTTGACAGGAAAATCTTCAAAATGAAAATTGAACTCGGTTAACGCCTTTCCTCTCCGGAGAAAAGACTCCATTCGCTCTGATTAGATCGTTCGGTCTCCGGAAGTGACGAGATTTTACGTTCCTAAGATTTTGTTACTCTTATAAATTGAAAATCACAGTTTCTAAGTTTTGCATGGAAGCATGAGCTGTCGAACAGGCCATGCGACAACGTAGCTGGCTTCAAGAAGAACACGTATCGTTGTCTCTCTCCCCCTTGCATCTTAGAATGCCTTCGAACTGAATGTAAGTGCGCATTAACTTGCACAAAAATGGCGGTGGGTAACCATCTCCGTCTCTACGCATCGTCTCGGCCATGGAAGATCTTCGAGCCTCTAGCGCCGTCAATGGCGTATTTGTGCCACACCAAGGTATCTTTACTTCTTCGTTCTTTTGGTTGGTAGGACGTCCTTACATAAAACAGATCAAATTGTGTGCCAATCCCATTATATGGAAAAAAAAAAAAGCTTGGTGGAGTATGCCTCGTGTATACGATTCCAGTATATATACACGTATACTATGTACACAATATACATACATGCTCACGTAGATGGTGGAGACATACGTTATTCGGATTCACAAAACCAGATCTTCATTTGTTGCGCAATCTGACAAGAACTAGGCAAATAGAGGGGAATTTCCGGGAACGACATTATCCTAATTGTATTTATAGGATAATCAGGTTTGACTTTGAAACAAAATTAGGGGGGCAAGTACTTGTTAGATGCTTCGTGGGATGATAATTGATAAATGTCATCTTGTCATTATTATGAGCTTCCTAATTGACATGTTGAAAGTAGAAATATACCCAACACAATGACTCCAACAACGACGGCCACGGCGGTGGCTTGGAGGAGAGAGCTTGGAGGAGAGAGGGCCGTCGACAGCAGAAGAGTTCAAGAGAGTGGGCGAAGAGAAGTTGAAGGAGGCGGAGGACAAGCTGAAGGAGGCCGAGCAAGGGGTCGCGAGCCAGGTGTTCGATAAGACGTACGATGGTGCGGAGGAAGCAGTTCTGGGGGACGCTAACCCGGAATCGGTTCTGGGGGACGCTAACCCGGAATCGGCCAAGAAGAGGTATGAGCAGCACGAAGAGAACGCTGACTACCGCAGGAGAGGGTATATAGGACCGAGTCTTGAACGCATGCTCACCATACTTAAATGTGGATCAAGTGGTACTTTCTTACGTTATATGACATGCAAGTCTTCTATACCATACTTAAATGTTACCAGTTGCATTTTCAGTTTTGTTTGGCTTGTTACCAGTTGCATTTCTTGTTTTGTTCGACTTGTTACCAGTTGCAATTGCGTACCTGCTTTCTCCCCCGAACTACCACCTAACAATTACACCAAAACATTCTCTTTTCTTGTTAAATTTTACGAGTTGGTGCAAGAAAACCCTAATCCCTAGATCGTGCCTTGCCACGACCTCGCATTGGGGAAGCAGTCAACGTGAAGTTGGACCAACCCTCTTTCGGATTAGGTTTGGTCCACTGAGTTCTTGGAACTTTTCCCAACGACACTCACCAGCTTCATCCTCTGCCGCCAATCGCCATCACAGTGGGCAGGTCGGACGGAAATATTCAACTCCCTCTACCAATCTTGCTTTCCGAGGTTAAACGTTCGATAAACTCGTAATCAAATGGAAGAAGAAAGCAACTTGAGATCTCCAAAGCCTATTTCGTTTACTGTTGTATATGATTCGGTCAACAATCATCTTGTGATAGATTACTGATGAACTTCAGACGTGCAATCTTATTAATGCTCGCCTTCCTGTTGGAAGCCAATCAGGGCTATTTCTTGAAGCCCAGGGCCTCCCCTCCAATCGAGAATGTGAAACGGATCGAGAATGTGAAACGGAGACGTTTAGGCTGCGAATGATAATTATTCTATTTTAGAAAACACGTTTGATAACGACACAAAATTTTTGTTCCAGAAATAGAAATTTATTTGATAACGGCACAAAATTTCTTCCTATCAAGTGGCCGGTGAGTGGACGGCGGGCGGTGGACGGCGAGGGGAGGCGGCGGCGGGAGGAGGGCTGCCGGCGGCAGGAGACAGTGGCCGGTGGTTGGCGGGCGGCGGCCCACAGTGGCCGGCGGTGGGCAATGGCTGGAGGAGGGCAACCAGAGGCGGGAGCGGTGGCCAGTTGGATGGCGGCCGGTGGCCCACGGTAGCCGGTGGTGGAAGGTGGGCGGCGGCCGAAGGCAGGCGGCGGCGAGAGGAGGGAGGCCGGCGGCAGGAGACGGTGGCGGGTGGACGGCGAGTGACGGTCCACGGTGGCCAGCGGGTGGCACTCCACGGTGGCCGGCGGTGGGATGCAGGTGACGGGAGACGATGGCCGGCGGTGGGAGACAAGCGGCAGGGGGATTCGGGGGGCGGCGGGAGGAGGGCGATCCGCAGCGGGAGACGGTGGCCGGTGGACGGTGGGCGGCGTTGGGAGGTGGGCGGCGGCCATCGGCGGGTGGCGGCGGGCGGCGGTCGCCAGCAAGTGGGTGGCGGATGGGCGATCGACTAGTAGCGAGAGCGAGCAATGAGAAGAATTTTAACTTCTCATTTCTGTTCTAGAAATAGAGAAGCAAAAAATAATCTATTTCTGGAACAAATTTTGTTCCAGAAATAGAAATTAAAATTGCATTACCAAACGGATTTCTGCTCCAAACATATTTCTGGAACAGAAATAGAGAAACAGAATGGTTATCATTCGCAGCCTTAATCTCAATGAGCTGAACAAATCTATAATAGAAAAAGCAGACGATGCATGCTAGCTACAAAGGGCTCCAAGACACGACAGCACGCTTTGATTCCTACTTGCCGACAGTGACAATATATCAAAAGCCCTCTTTATCCTTACATCCTCAAAAAGTCCGCTTCCAGCGGCTATTGGTTTCACAAGCATCTACTCCCGCTTTGATGACGCAAGTCCATGTAGCCACTCCACATTATCCCTATCTGGTGCGTCGATGATTACTTCACGATGTGGCAATTGGGTATTGCGAAGGTCGGAGACAAGAACTAGAGAAACGGATTAATGACAAGGAAATTGGTGGAGCGGCTAACTACCAAGCATTTTTACCGGGCTAAAAGTCATGGATTGCAGAGAGAATAAAGAGAATTTAAGGCGGTCAAGGAAGCAATCAATCAAAACCTCCTAAGAAGAAAACAAAGGTAACGGATAGTCAGCTGTTGCCCATTGAAATCCTAGACATTATTGGCCTGGAGTCCAGCCAACCCTGCACCCCCCCAAAAAAAAAAAAAAAAAACAAAACACCGGTGACCCGAGCCCGAGTACTGAAACTGCTCCAATGGCCCCCTCTCAATCATGACACATCAAGTCTCCCAACGTTCGCATTTTACGTTGCTGTCGTCCCTTCACACTCCACCAAAAAGTTAGGGTTAAATGTCTTTCACCGCCTGAGAGTATAGTCTGTCCCTGTTCGGGGACTATTCGTCGTGTGGTCGATGAAGTTACAGTTCCCGCTCGATGCGAGACTCGTTAATCTTTGACGCGTCGTTCCTTTGGGTATAATTGTTCGAGTATAGTGCAATGATTTCCGGAGAAAAATGCTAGCCAATGTGATGTGACATTTTAGTGGCGCGGTTGTGTTTGGCCACGCTAACAAATTCACATAATCTAAGCAATACGTCGATTCTCTAGCGACTCCATCTGGGCGGCAAATCACCTTGAAGGTTCGAGGTTGGTGAACTCGTAATTGAAGTCCCACCGAAATATTAGCGGTCCCATCTAGGCAACTTGGCACGCGTTGATCGTAACGCGAATCCAACTCTTGAGCTCGCGAAAAAAAGGAAAAAAAAAAAAAAAGAAGCCACTTTGGTTATGGCAATCGAAGTAATAAGTTAGCCGAAGGATGCTGATGCTAATAGCAGGGGACGCCCAACAAAACCGCGCACGCGTGGGGGGTCATCCGGAGATCCCCATGAAATTCAGAAACGTGTGCGGCTGTTGAGAACCCCTCGTTCCCCACTTCCTTGCCCACTCCCGCTCTTCTTCTTCTTCCCCTTCTTCATCATCATCATCATCCCCTCGTGCCCTCTATAAATCCAACTCCATGCATTCATCCCTCTGAACTCTCCTCTCTCTCTCTCTCTCTCTACAAGCTCATGCTCTGCCTCTACCTTTCTAAACAGAGCATGGCGAGTCCTGCATTCTCTTGCTTCCTCCTCCTCCTGTCCATCTTTGCTCTTGCAGGTAACCCCTCCCTCGCTTTTCCAATTTGACGAAAGCCTCCTTTCATCTGTTTTTTTTTTTTACTTTGAACTAGGGCATGAATTGAACAAAACTCCTTTTGTGTTCCATTTTTAATGGATTCTGGGCTCATAATAAAAGGAAAGTCCGTAGCTTTCTTGACATCGATCGATCCTCAGGTTTTTTGGCGTGTGCCTCCACGCCCTTACTTCCAAAAGAACGACATGTTATGTTTGGCACAATGGCCGTGTCCTCCGTTTACAATATTCGGGTGTAAACCTCGACAACATTTTACATCAAAGATTCAGAGTGCGCGAGCATATCTGAATTTTCGGAAGCCAATTCTGTCATCTGTTACATTGCCGCCTAATTCTGTTTCCTCCGTTCCCAGTTTTAATTATCTATGTTTGTCGCGTTTATTACAGAGTCGGGCTCGATCGGACTGAACTGGGGTCGCGTAGCCAACGACCTCCCGCCGCCGGTGAAAGTGGTGGAGCTCCTGAAATCGCAGGGCATCACCCGGGTCAAGCTCTACGACGCCTACGACGGCGCCCTCACGGCCCTCGCCGGTTCCGGCATAAGCGTCGTCGTCGCCCTCCCCAACGAGCAGCTCTCCTCCGCCGCCTCGGCCCAGTCGTTCACCGACTCGTGGGTCCAGTCCAGCATCTCCAAGTACTACCCCTCCACCAAGATCGTCGCCATCGCCGTCGGCAACGAGGTCTTCGCCGACCCCAACAACACCACTAATTTCCTCGTACCCGCCATGAACAACGTCTACGCGTCCCTCGTCAAATACAACCTTTCCGACATATCCGTGTCTTCTCCCATCGCGTTGAGCTCGCTCCAGACTTCCTACCCGACTTCCGCCGGGTCGTTCAAGCCGGATCTTGTCGGGCCCGCGATCAAGCCCATGTTGGATTTCCTTCGCAAGACCGGGTCGTACCTCATGGTTAATGTCTACCCGTTTTTCGCTTACACGGCCAATTCGGATCAGATCTCCCTGGATTACGCGCTGTTCAAGCAGAATCCGGGCGTCGTGGATTCCGGTAACGGATTGAAGTACTCCAGCCTCTTCGACGCCCAAGTCGACGCCGTCTATGCCGCCATGTCGGCTCTCCAATACAACGATGTCAAGCTGGTCGTGACGGAGACCGGCTGGCCCTCGAAGGGCGATGCCAACGAAGTCGGCGCGGGCGCGGAGAATGCCGCGGCATACAACGGGAACCTGGTGAAGCGGGTCCTGACCGGGAACGGAACGCCGCTGAGGCCGAACAACACCGTGGACGTGTACTTGTTCGCTCTCTTCAACGAGAACCAGAAACCGGGTCCCACGTCGGAGAGGAACTACGGGCTGTTCTACCCGGACGAGCAGAAGGTCTACAGCATACCGCTCACGGTGGAGCAGCTCGCGAGCGGCGCCATCAACGCGAGCGAGGCCCAGGTCCAGACGGCCTCCCCCGCCCCCACGGGGCAGACGTGGTGCGTGGCCAACGGGAGAGCCGGGGCGGCGAAGCTGCAGGCGGCGCTGGACTACGCCTGCGGGGAGGGCGGCGCCGACTGCCGGCCCATCCAGCCGGGCTCCGCTTGCTACGACCCGGACACGCTGGAGGCCCACGCTTCGTATGCGTTCAACAGCTACTACCAGAAGCAGGATCGTGGGATGGGGACGTGCTACTTCGGCGGCGCAGCCAACGTGGTGACACAACCGCCCAGTGAGTACCACCACCACCACCTTATCACCTCTAAAACTTCCGATCACATGCCATGCCACACTGCCACGCCACTACGGCAAGAAATGACGACATCGTTAAATTCAATTGATTATCATTTCTTTGAATTCCCGCACAGTTTTGCGCTCGTTGGATTGGAGCATGCTTTGAGTAAATTGGTAAAGGGTCAATTTCTGACAATCGGTCTTGCCAATAGAGTTTCTCCAATTTTGTCAAAGTGGACTAAATCGAGACTCGAATGGCATGATTAGGTCCACCTCCATACCTAATCCCATGATTTTTCTCGTTTCCACATTGCGGGTCGTGCATGGACCAAAACTTGCACGCCTCCTACATTCACTCGCCAGAGTCATGCACCTCTCGTAGAAAAGGGTATTCTATAAGTAAACCGCTGGTGGGTTTTGTCTTTGCCTATATGAAATCAAGTGATGCCCCTATAGATTGAATTTCCGGTGACGTGGAAAATTGAATTTTTTTCCCCTAAATATATGGTTCTAAAACCACAGCGGGCCGACAACAGTGGCGTCATGAGAAAACACATTTTTTGTTTTCAACATTCTACGCTTTGTCGGCGGCTATCTCATGATCGATGTTGCTTTCTACTTGATTTTTTCAATTTCTCCGTCTTCCACAATGTGGGTCGCTGCTTAACTGTAGCTTTGACAGCATGATCGGGACAACATCGGGGACCCGCATGTAGTATTTCATGGTCGATCGTCGTCAACAATGGGGCCGTGCTTTTTGTTCAACTGCTACGAAACCGCATTTTTTTCTTCACTTCGTTGGACTAATTTCCCCTAGCTTCTCTGACTTTTTCCTTCCCCACGAAGCTCGACCAACCGACAGTCTTTAATTTTATCGTACAAAATCATTTAAAATTCCTAGGAATTAAGATCCCTTCGAGACAATACGTCGCGATTTGTCCTTAATCCGAGAGAAATTCAATTTTGATCGTGACTTCTTCCGTGGCTGAAATCGTTTTTGCTAATCTTGTGTGTTGCAGAATACGGGGAGTGCGAATTCCCCACAGGGTACTAGAGAGATTATTCCTTTTAACCAGGTCAAGAGACGACAGCGTTTGGTGGAGACTTGGCTATGGATTTGGTGGTGGGCTTAGCTCATTCTCATTCTTTTCTTTGCGACGCGGCCAGAGATTTACTATAGTTTTATTTATGGGTATTTCATTTCTTTTCATAGGAGAGGATTAGGTTTGCTTTGGTTCACCAGTTTCCATTGACTGGCTCTGCCTGTAATTATTTCCCCTTCTTATTGTATTTTACCTTGATATTATATATAATAACATTGGCGATTGCTTGGTTACTGATGTGGACACAATACTTAATCTCGATCTGGCTTTTTTTCTTAAGGGCGATTTAGTATTAATAAACGTAAGTGAGAGAGAGAGATGTACCTGTCCGTAATGGCTTGCCCTCTTCTTTGTTTGGCCCATCTTATGATTATGCTCTGTGCCGATGAAAATGATAAAAAATTGTCGCGCGTGATGCCTTCTCAGATGCTCCAAACCACGACGTTCTTAACACCCAAATAAATTGCGTGGAGTTTCGTCGTTTTCTAAAACGACAAATGAAAAATTATTGTTGTGCTAAGAAAACACTTGAAAATTTCTTAGGAAATCGGCGATGTTAAGGATGCGTTTGGTAATTATTTTGTTCCGAAAATAATTTATGCTCAAAAATAATTCTTTTTAATTTCATTCTCGGAAATAATTTCTAAGCATTTGAAAGCATTTGGTAAATAAATGCATTTGGTAATTACACAAAATTTCTTTTTATTAATAATATTTTTGAATTTTTTAATATTTATTTCTTTTTTTTTATCCTTTTTTTTTCTTCTTTATCCCCTTCCTTGGCCCATGGCCAGGTTGCCAGCGCCGGCGACCAACCATAGGCCGGGGGCATGTAACTACTCGCCAGATCTGGCGAGGGCGGCTAGTGGCTTGGGCGAGGGCCGTGATGCCTTGGCCAGCCCTGGCCTGTGGCCGGTCGCCAGTGGCCGGTGGCCGGCGACCGGCCATAGGCCAAGAAGAAAACCAAAAAGAAGAAGAAGAAAAAAAAAATTCTTTTCTATTTATGATTCTTGTTCCCCGAATCAAGAAGCAACTTTTTTTTGCTTCTTGATTCTGTTCCAAAACTGATTCTGGGAATAAATTTGTGCAAATTTGTGCTCGGGAACAAAAAATTTACCAAACGAATTTCTTTTCTTTTTTTGCTCCCTTGAATAAAAGAATAGAATCAGTTACTAGTTGGCCAGTTACCAAACGTACCCTAAGAGGCTGGGGGGGGAAACAATGAATATGGCTTCTCTCTTAAAAATCAAAAGGTCACTTATGAAGTCCACAGCCACACTCCTCAGCTGCTGAAAATATTATTTAGGACTAGATGGAGAAATCTATCCTGGAACTTGAGTTTCCTCTTTTTCTTTTCTTTTTTGCGACATAGCATTAGAAGGATCGACCAAAACGAGGATGTCTTGTCCCTCGTCGGAGCTTCTTTTTAATCTCCATTTCATGAAAAAGAAGAAGAAGGAGGAGGAGGAGGAACCACGAGCCATTTTATTTGAGAGAACTCATTTGAGGTCACTCAATTAATTCAGCTTGATCAACGAAGTACAGACCTCATTTGATCCATAGAGGCCCACACCTAAATCACGAGCCAATTGAAGGATTTATTAACCCATAGAATGGGAAGCGAACCAATCCTGCTACAGTTCTTGCACGGGCGCGAGCTAAATAGCAGTACCGTGATGTAACCGATATAATTAGAGATCGGAGTGTCTTTGAATTCGGGTCACGTGTACCAGTGTTATGGCCCATATTAACTTCAATCGAGAGTTACGAAACTTACATCGCACATGCATTCATACCCGTAAATTTTCGTGCTCGCTCGAATTAAATCGCAACGCAACGTCATGATCATATTAATCGGCGACTGAAAAGTAACTCAAAACGAGTGAAAGTTAGAGAATGGAGACCGTAACTAGACATTTAAAAGATGAGAATGATTCTATGATGTAATAAGTAGATTCGCTTTGATCAAGACCTTGTTCAATCCCATGCAAAAAGAAAAGAAACCATGAGCCAGTTCATTCGAGCAGAGAACTGCAAAAACTTCTGGTTGGCCTAGCTCGAGCTGGATCAATCAATTCAGCTTCGTTAACGCAATACAGGCCTCAATTGATCTGTAGAAAGGCCCACAACTAAACCTTGAGCCAATTTTTTTCCCATATCTTACCGATCGAGTGTCTTCCTTTTCTTTAAAAAATAATAATAATAAAAAGTAAATTAAAAATTAGAATTAAAAAAAGAAAATTAAAAAATAAAAATAATTAAAATGAATGGTGAAAGAAGGAGGAGGGAAAATGATTTCCTCTTTTTGAAAAGAGGAAAAAATTTCCCTCGCTTTTAAATGTGTTTTTTTTTCCATCGAGGGAAAATGTTTTCCACGACTAATTTATTTTCCATGAAACGAACGCCGGAAAATCCAGAAAATGTTTTCTTGAAAGTTGTTTTCCGCGCAACGAACGAAACCTTACTATTGGTAAATGTTCAATATAGTTCCTGAATTATATGAAAATATTTAAAAATCTCACAACGTTAAATAGTGGATCAAAGTTCAAGGACCATATTGAATAAATTAAAAGTTTAGAAGTGACAATATACATTGGATCAGAGTTTAGAAAATATTAAACTTGTCGATATTGGGTTATAGACCCAATTCTTAACCTATATTTAATGGGCTGTGTTGTTATATGGGTTAATTATATTCAGTAAATGGGTCAAAAATGAGTTTAGAATTGTAAAGTCCAAAACAATATGTGTTAATGGGTTTACAGCTTTCCTAAACCTAACCCATATCTATGACTCTCTTTTACTCTTTCTTGTCTTCACTCAATCTCGCTTCACTCTCTCAAGGCTCTCACATCAGTTTAGGTATAAATTTTCCTAAATTTGGTTAAATATAAAAATGTTTTAGTAATATGTGTCGGGTCGGGTATAAGTCACTAAATTTGTATTACGTGAAAATTGATCAATTTAGATCCAATCATTTTCGACTCGACCCATCCGTTTTGACGGTCCAGAGTACATTCATATCATTTCCCCTTGATTTAATAAGGTTTTTTGGTTTTGTCCCGACAAAAGTTTGAGAATGCAGGGGCACATGCCTAGATTGTTTAAGGAGTAACTCTGCTCGTTTGTCAACTTCCACACATTCTTCACCCCACCTAAAAAGAAACTTCCACACTTTCTTCGAAAAAGCAAGGTTCTTGTGTATCTTTTCTTTTCTTTCTTTTTCCTCTCATTGAACAGGGAAGTTTCCCCCGAGTTTCCCTCCCTTTTCATATATAAGAACCCGAGCGCGTACCCCGCAATCTGAAACTCGCATATAGATGCTATGCTGTCGTCGCCGCGGGTCCTAAATTCCCTTCAATTTCGGAAGCGATCCAGATAGGTTTCTGCCAGTTTTCCCGAGGATGGTGTTCGCGATGCGTTCCTGGTCGGCCAACACCGATTCATACACCGAGAGTGGAGCGAAGGTGAGTCCTTCCTTTCTGTGAGCACGAGCTGAACAAGCTGGATCTTTTCTTGGGAAAAACTCGATGGAAATAATGACATTTCTACTGGCGACGAAGCGGTTCGAAATTATTAAGTAGGAATTTGCATACATGCTCTCTGGATTCAGTCCGAACATTTGTCTTAGCTGTTAGAAATAGGCTGATCTTTTTGCGAGCTTCTTTTTTTCTGGGTTAACAAAGGTGGAGTATGCCTAATTCGGTAGAAATTAATGCTGGAGCTGAAATTGAAGGTGAAGTCTCGCCCCAGCGAGAAAATCAAAAGGAGAGCCATGAGAGTTCTATCACTATCGCACCTAGGTACGGCCTTCTTTCTTCTGTCTTGGTTGCCAGGGTCAAACTCGGTGCGCCGATTTTCCGGTACATTTTAGAGAGGCAGAACCTTTTCCAATTTAACGCTCTCTTCCGATTGTTCCTTTTTGCCTGTCCTGTATATAATGCAGGTGTAGATACTAGTTGCTTTGACGATAAAGAAGGGATGTTCACGCTCGTTGGCCATATGAATCCAGTTGAGGTGGTGTTCGAACTCCGGAAGATTTGCGTCATATACATTGTAAGCGTGGCCATTCTGACCGCACGAAATGATGCCTTCCCTACAACAGGTGCGTGCATCCAAAAACACGCACCTTAATACGTGTAGAGAATAAGGATGTAAATTTTTTGTATTGAAATCTTTGGAGGAACTGGTGCGCCCTGAAAGTGACTTTTTCGTTGAACATGAAATTCACTCTCGTTAAATCGAAAACGTTTTCACGTACGGATCAAGAGGGCCAAGTATTCGACCATTAGTCTTGTTAAGGTATGCTTCCTCCGAGTAATTGGATTGAATGCTTCTGATTCAGTTCAGAAAGTTAAATGATTCTTGTAAAAAGAGAGAAAAAAAATACTTCGATGGATCACTGAGGCTTACATCCCCTAATCCCTATCCGTGGGGTGCTTCTGCACTGGATGCTTGCATTACTCTTTGATAACTCATTTCCACACCGGGTTTTCCAACAAAGCCTTACAAGGAGCTCTAGGAACTCTGAATAGTTGTTTGAACAACGAGTTACATTTATGTACTATGAGTGCTAATGTTGTCATGTTTGGGGCGACGAAAGAAACAAATGATTAGTCATTCTACTGTAGGCATTATTTTTTTTTCGTACAAAAAAGAATTAAGAAATATTCACGGTAACCATTAGAGCTGACGAGATTAGTAATAATATCCGTGAACGTATTGAGCAATATAATAGAGAAGTAAAGATTGTAAACACCGGTACCGTACTGCAAGCAGGTGACGGCATTGCTCGTATTTATGGTCTTGATGAAGTAATGGCGGGTGAATTAGTAGAACTTGAAGAGGGTACAATAGGGATTGCTCTGAATTTGGAATCATATAATGTTGGTGTTGTATTAATGGGTGACGGTATGATGATACAAGAGGGAAGTTCTGTAAAAGCAACAGGAAGAATTGCTTAGATACCGGTGAGTGAGGCTTATTTGGGTTGTGTTATAAATGCCCTGGCCAAACCTATTGATGGTCGAGGTGAAAATTACACTTCTGAATCTCGATTAATGAATCTCCCGCTCCAGGTATTCCTTTTGTTCAGGGATACGGACATGTTAAGTTATTCATTTTTTAAGTACGGATAGGAATTCCATGTATTCATTTTTTACTTTTGGAAACCCTTTTGTTAAGGTTATCAGTAGCTTAAATCAGCATTGTGCTGGCAAAAGGAGGCTTTTGGACATGCTATATAATTCTTGATTCTCGCTCTGTTAATTTTTTTTTCCTTGTCATTTTAATCCGTTTCTTTTTAAATATGTGCAGACAGAATCACCGAGCTAATACTCATTGAGGACACCGACCTGAAAGCGAAGAGATCTTCAGGGATACGGATATGTGAAGAGCAACAAGAACAGTCGCAGAAGCAGCAAGAAGACCACTCACCACCAGGACAAGCCGATTCTTACATATCTCAAGTAGAAGCATCACCTCTTTCTCAACCTCGTCCTCCTCTGTCTCTCCCTCTTGCTTCCGAGGCTCGACCTTCATCCTCCCGAGTCTCACATCCATCTCAAGGAACGTCAGATCAGATGCAAGCTGCTCCTGATTGGGCGCCTGAACTTTCGTTCCCGTTTGCTCCATTGTCTTCGCACACTTTTTGGACCAAGAGTCTTGCAGACATGCCGGCACAGTCAAGCATTTCTGGGGGAGCTTGCCTTTTCAAGGACATGAAACTTATGGAGGAGGAGGGACTGGGAGGGCAAGATCAGCTTTATGACTCTGCCGTCCACCACCTCATTTCAGTGAGTGAACCTTATTTTTATGCTTGTTGTACTTGACATCATCCGTGCACACTCCTGACCGTTATGTCCAACTTCCGGTCTTTGCATTGATAGGGCATCAATGGCATTGGTGAGCTCAAGAGGCGTTACGACCTTCGTGCTGGAGAACAGGCCAACCGCCTCAAGGAGATGGAAGACACCGCCATCATGCTGTGTAAGCAGGTGGAGGAGCTGGAGGCCAAGGTGTCGATGGCCAACATGTCGGAGCATCGTCTGATGGATATGCTCAGGATAAGTGAGGATAGGCATGCTAGGACAAAGAAGGAATTGGCTCTTATGCGAGAGAAAATGGACGAGGCGGATTGCCGGATTGAGTACTTAGAAGCTGCGGTTTCCAGATACCAGAACAGGATTGCTGTAGCCGAAGTAGAGAATGAGAAAGCAGAAGAGAGGGCGTGCGGGGCTAGTGTCGGGGGAGAAACCATGAGCACACCTCGTCCGAGCCCTGTGCCTCCAAGGAGTACCTTCCTGAGTTTTGTTCCTTCTCCCAGTCCTCGTCTCACGGACTCGGAGGTGTGCAAGGAAAGCGCTCTTTTTCCTGAACTCACTTATTATTAGGACCGACGTCGAATAATAAGAGGATTTAAACTATTTTCCTAAATACTCGTCCCGTAGTTTATAAATTATATTAGGTTTCGGGAGGATTAGGTTTATTCTCGTTCATCAGTGTCCTTCCCTGTTTTGTCTGTAAATATTTCCCCTTCTATTGTATTTACCTTGATATTAATAATTCACCAGCGATTACTGATTATAACACATTACTGAATCGGTCTGATATGGTTTCTTCGGGGCGATTTAGTATAAAAAAGTAAGTGAGAGAAAGATGTCTTTGTCCCTATTGACTTGCCCTCTTCTTTGTTTGACCCATCTTATGATAAAAATAGTCGTTCATGATGTCTTTTCAGATGCTCCAAATTATGATGTTCTTACCACTCAAATATATTGCATGGAGTTTTCGTTGTTTCTGGAAAGATAAGGAGAATTTACAAATCTTAACAAGTAAATATGAACTTCAATAGATAAAGATTGTTGTGCTACGTGAACAACAAAAAATCTCGGCAAAAGGACACCAGAAGTGTCACAACTTGTGTACGGAGATCACTTTGGTGCCATAACTTTTTTTCGAAACACTTTGGTGCCAATTTTTTTGAAAAACGATCATTTTAGTGTCAATGCTGACGTGGCTCGCCGGAAATTTAATGTGGCGCTGACATGGCTCGCCGGAGAGGTGCAGTCAGCATTAAAAACCAAAAACGACGTCGTTTAACCCACTGACGTGTACTTTTTTTAGAAATTTTTTTTAAAATTATATAGAAAAAAAAAAAAAAAAACGTTGCAGCAGTGGCGAGGGAGCCCTCGCCGCTACTGCCGCCAACCCACCACCGCCGGGAAGGGCTGGCGGTGGTGGACGGAGTGGTCGGCGAGGGTCGCCGGCCCCTGGCCGGGGCCCGGCGACCCTCGCCGAGACCCAGCGAGGGCCGGATCCGGCGAGGTCTTGCCTCGCCGGATCCGGCTCTCGCCGACCATTCTCCGCCCACCACCGCCGGCCCTTCCGGGCGGTGGTGGGTTAGCGGCAGCAGCGGCGAGGTCTCCCTCGCCGCTGCTGCAACGTTTTTTTTTTTTTAATCAAAAAATTAAAAAAATCGAAAAAAAGCCACCTAATTTCTACGTGTACAAGTCAAACCATTTTTTTAAATATAAATGCCAGGTCAGCATTTTGGCCGGAGTCACTAAGGGTGCGCATGAATACCATTCTGTGCCCGAGAACTATTTCTGAACAGAAATGATTTTTTTTTATTCTATGCCCGAAAATAATTTCTGAGTATTTTAAGACGTTTGATAAACTGTCCAAAATTTCTATTGCTAGAGTAGAAAAGAACATAAATGCGTTTGATAACTACACAAAATTTCTGTTCCCAAATAATATTTTAATAATATTTTGAATTGTTTAATTTTTTTTTTCTTTTTACCCATTTTCTTCTTTGGCCATGGCCGGCCGCCGGCGACCGGCAACCGGCCATAGCCCGGCGGCCGGCGAGGGCCGTGACGCCCTCGCCGGCCCTGGGCTGTGGCCGGTCGCCGGCCCGGCCCAGCCGGGGAAGAACAACACAAAAATAAGAAAAGAAAAAAAAGAAAAAAAAGAAAAAAAACTGATTCTCAAAATTGTGCCGAGAAGCAAAAAGCAACTTTTTTTTACTTCTTGTTTCTCTTCCAAAACTGTTTCTCGGCACAAATTTTTGCAAAAATGTGCCTAGGAACAAAAAGTTTACCAAACGCATTTCTGTTCCCAAACTATTTCTGGGAACAAAAGAACAGAAATTTTCACTATTTGGCACGTTACCAAACGGGCCCTAAAGTGATCTATTTTCCTCCGACTTGGCACCAAAGTGATCCGAAAAAAAGTTATGGCACCAAAGTGATCTCCATACACAAGTTATGACATTTCTGGTGTCCTTTTGCCAAAAAATCTATTACGAAATCGGTGATGCAACGAGATTGATACTAGAGAGAACGAATATCGCGTCCCTTCGAAGAGATAAGTTTCCATGTCAATGTCAGCATAATCAAAGTAATCATCTGTAGTGAGAAATTGGACATTCATGTGAAAATCAAAGTCACTTATAAAGTCCAGAGCCACACTCCTAGGTTGCCGAAATGTTATTTAGGATTAGATGAGCATTTAGGAAAAAACCCTTTTACCTAAAACCATTTGCATTTCCCTAAAGGCTTTTTCAAAAAAGCCTTTCCAAAGGTAACCGAAGTGATCTATCCTCCAAATCAAGTTTCTCTTTTTTTTTGGGCGACATAGCATTAGGAGGATCAACCCAAACTAGAGTGTTTGGATCCTCGCTGGAGCCACTTTTCAAGCTCAATCCCATGCAAAAAGAAAAGAAACCACTAGCCAGTTCATTTGAGAGGAATCTCATAAGTTTTTGGGAGGCCTTGCTCAAGCTCGATCAATTAATTCAGCTTGGTTAACGAAGTACAGACCTCGTTCGATCCGTCAAGGCCCGCACCAATTAATATGCTCCATCCTTTTTCTCTCTTTCTTTCTTGGTGTTTAATTACCTAAAGAGTGGCAAGTAGACCAACCTAGTACAAATCCAAACTAAGCAAATTAAAAGTACGAAAAAATATTACGCGATCAACATTACGCCCCAATTGGTGTAGAGGTTTCTCGATGATTCAGTGACTATATGATGACCAATATCGATGGAAAGTGACTTATATCTTACGTCTCTCGGATTGTCTTTCGCTGGATCGAAGACGAAGTATCCTGGACTTCTACCACACTACAAACGGCATGAATAGTTTCTGGTGTTGTGTGTTACAGAATATACAAGGAGAGTCAACGGTTGGCCCCATCTTAACAAAAGTCTTCGCTCCCCTATTTCGTATAATTTCCTAGGCCTAATCTGAGAGAAAAAAAACACCGAAAGACAATATCCGATTGACAAAATCAGGTACATCTGGATTAGGATAATAACCCCCACAAACGGCTGCTTGAATATTAATAGTAGCCATTCCATCCCGTCTTCCTTTGTCTTTCTCATTTCCATATAAAAGTTCATAAGGAATTGCCTGAAATTAGTATGCTACGTTTTGCTTCATTAAAATCTTAATAAGAAATGCATTTTAATTTAATTTTTCTTAAACCCGAAATACTTGGAACTTTCGAAATATATAAACTTTGACACGGATAGTTTTTTTTTATAATCTTTTTTTGTAATCTGGATAATATATCTAATTTTATCAAGGAGGTCAAGAATTACTTTCTACCTTTTTAAGAAACACAAAAAACAGGCTCTTTAATTGATTTTATTTTAGACCCCCCCAAAAAAATTTGATTTTACTTGCAAGTTTTCTTTTTTGTTTTCTCCCTTACAAAATTTTAGGGGCTACAAATCCCACCGCGGTTCGACTGTTTTTCTTTGTCCACTTGCATAATTTCTTAGGAAAAAGCATACTTCCTTCCTTTCTTTTTTTCTTTGTCGACTTTTCAAACATGGCAGCTGCCCTCCCTTTCCGTATATAAGAATCCGAGCGCAAAACCCGCAAACTGAAACTCGCATCATCTGCTACCGTGGTTGCCGTGCATCCTAATTCCCGTCAGTTTCGGAAAGCGATAGAGATAGATTATCTTGCCGATTATTCACGAGAATGGTGCTGATGGCGCCTTCCTCGCCGGCCAGCACTGATTCGGGCACCGAGAGTGGATGGAAGAAGGTGAGTACTTTCTTTACGTGAGCACGAGCTGACCAAGCTGAATCTTTTCTAGGAAAAATTCGATGGAAATAATGATATTTCTGCTGGGGACGAAGTGGTTCGAGATTATGTGGGAATTGCACACGTGCTCTCTGGGTTCAGTCAATCGTTTGTTTTAGTCGTAGAAATAGGCTTAATCTCTCTGTGAGCATCTCATTTTCTTGGTTAATAAAGGTGGGATACACCTAACTCGGCAGGGCCTAAAGCTGGTGTTGAAGTTGGACCTGAGTTCTTGCCCCCGTGACAAAATTAAAAGGAAAGCCCTGAAATTAGCAATATCTATTCAAGGTATGGCCTTCTTTCTTCCGTGGACTAAAGCCTCAAACTCTTCCAACTGCTCCTTTCTGCTCGTCCTGTTTATTATGCAGGGGTACATTCTATTTGTTTGACGGAGAAACAGGGACGTTCACGCTCGTTGGCCATATTTTTGATGCAGTCGTGGTGGTGCACGAACTGCGTAAGCTTTGCTTGGTAGACATTATGAGCGTGGGCCCTGCGACTGCGGAAAATGATACCTTCCCTGCAACAGGTGCGTGCATTCTCCAACACATATTCTTAATATGTGTAGTGCATAAAAACTCGACTTCATTTTACATTGAATTCTCCGGAGGAAATGGTGGTTGCTGAAAGTGACTGATTCCATGAACATGAGAATTACTCTGGTTAAATTAAAAATGTTGTCACGAATCACAAGGACCAGAGCCTAGAGGACAAGTACTTGGATGAATCACCGGGGCTCACATCCCCAAATCTCTGATCTGTGGGGTGCTTCTCCACTGGATGCTTGCATTACTGTTTGATGACTCTTTCATTTTGAGACCCTTTTGCTAAGCTTAAATCAGCCTCGTTCTGGCAAAAGGGGGCTTCAGGACATGCTAATATTTCTTAATTCTCGCTCTGTTAAGTTCCCATGCCTTGTGATTTTTGATCCGTCTATTTTTTTAAATATGCGCAGTGAGAATCACCGACCTACAACCCAGCGAGGACACTGAGCTGGAAAGAAAGACATCTTTAGGGATAATGAGATCTGAAGAGCAATTAGAACAGTCGGAGAAACAGCAAGAAGACCAACCACCACCACGACAAGCCGATTCTTTCATATCTCGAGTAGAAGCATTACCTCTTTCTCGTCCTCTTCCTCTCCTATCTCTCCCTCTTGCTTCGGAGGCTCAACCTTCATCCTCCTCGGTCTCACGTCCATCTCAAGGAACGTCAGTTCAGATGCAAGCTGCTTCTAATCACGCGGCCGATCTTTCTTTCCCTTCTGCTCCATCGTCTTGGCGCATTTTTCTGACCGAGAGTCTCGGGCACATACCGGCACAGTCAAGCATTTCTGGGGGAGCTTGCCTTCACAAGGCCATGAACCTTATGGAGGAGGAGGGACCGGGAGGGCATGATCAGCTCTATGACTCTGCAGTCAGCCACCTCCTTGCAGTGAGTGAACTTTATTTTTATGCTCGTTGTACTTGACGTCATCCCGTGCACGCTTCTGACTGTCACATCGAACTACCGGTCTTTTCATTGATAGGGCATCGATGGCATTGGTGAGCTCAAGAGGCATTACGACTTTCATGCTGGAGAACAGGCCAGCCGCCTCGAGGAGGTGGTGATGCTGCGTAAGCAGGTGGAGGAGCTGGAGGCCAAGGTGTCGGTGGCCAACACGTTGGAGCGTTGTCCAAAGGGATATGCTCAGCATTAGTGAGGATGGGCATGCTGGGACAAAGAGGGAATTGGCTCTTATGCAAGAGAAAATGGACGAGGCGAATCGCTGGATCGAGCACCTAGAGAATGAGAGAGCAGAAGGGAAGGCGCGTAGGGCTAGCGTCGAGGGAGAAACCATGAGCACGCCTCGTCTGAGCCCTGTGGCTCCAAGGAGTACCTCCCTGAGTTTCGTTCCTTCTCCTGGTCCTCGTCTCACAGACTTGGAGATGTGCAAGGAAAGCGCTCGTTTTCCTGAACTGACCTCTTACTTGGACAAATCTTGAATTAGAAGAGGTTAAAGTTTCTTCTTTAAAGGATTCATCCTTTAAATTCAGTGTGCTTCGTTACGAGATTGAATCCAAATAGGGGTGGCAATTCGTGTCAATCGGATCATTGTGGTGCCAATTCTTTGAGAGGAAGTCACATCTTCTTTTGATACGAATTGCCACAAAACTTTTTTTTTTGTGTGCAGTGGGACAGGTCAGTGGAGTTGCAACTATACTAACACAAGAGGAAGTTACATCTACTTTTGATGGTTTTCTTTTTACTTTCGCCCGTCTCTAGAAATTAAAATTTTAGTTCCCAAAATTTTACTCTTGTGCAATTTCAGTCCAAAACGTGTTTACAACTCTTGCACAGGTGCCGACTATAGAACAGCGCGGTGATGCAACTAATATAATTAGAGATTCGAGAGGAAGTCACATCTACTTTTGATACGAATTGCCACAAAACTCTTTTTTTGTGTGCAATGGGACAGTTCAGCGAAGTTGCAACTATACTAACACGAGAGGAAGTTACATCTACTTTTGATGGTTTTCTTTTTAGTTTTGCCCGTCTCTAAAAATTAAAATTTCAGTTCCCAAAATTTTACTCTTGTGCAATTTCAGTCCAAAATGTATCTACAACTCTTGCACGGGCGCCGACTATAGAACAGCACGGTGATGCAACTAATGTAATTAGAGATTTGAGAGGTTCCTTGAATTCAAGTCACGCGTTCAAGTGTTGTGGCCCGAATTAAATTCAATCAAGAGTTAGGAAACTTCAATCACATACAAATTCCTGCCATAGCAATTGAATCACAACGCAATAGCGTAATTAGAATAATTAGCGGCTCAAAAGTAACTCTAAATTTTTCTAAAAATCTCGGCCTTTGTAATGCAAATATTATGACACAAATTCAACACGAGTGAAAGAGAATAGAGACCATAATTAGACAAAAAAAATTGTAGGGCTATAAAAACCCTCAATATTTAGTTATTCTAGTTCTTATTTAAGCATGTAAAAGATGGAGTGATTTTTACAATGCAGTCGTTGTTGCTTCTATTCGTAAAATAAAAAAATTGAGGATAGTCGAGGAGGAAACGAAAAATTAAGATCCCTTAGAAGTATGAATTTTTTTTTCACTTTATATAATAGTATGAACTGTTTAAATTCATTCTTTTCAATTTTTAAGTATTTCTTTCTTTTCTTTTGTTTTTTTCTTTTCTTTTTTCCGTTGGAGTTGAGATTTCTTAACTCCTTTTCCTTTTCCTTTCTATATTTGGAGGCCCCGTTTGGAAAAGGGAGAGAAAACAGGGGAATGAATACGAGGCAGAGAAATGAGTGGGATTTTGAAATGGGGGGAAAAGTTTGAATTTTGAGCATTCTCTATTCCAAGCAAACCTAGCATTTAAAGCCGAGAGACATCTTTTTGACTAATCCTTGGGACATTCGCTTTATTTTCCAATAACAAATGTTTGCTGTGTCTGGAAAGAAAAAGGATCAACGGTGTTCCTGTTACTCAGTCTTAAGGAAACTACAGAGGAGAGAGAGAGAGAGAGAGACATCGTGTATTGGAGAAGAAGCAGGCCTTTTTGCTTTTCTTGTGGAGCACCCAAGTGGGAACAAATGGGAACTGGTGGAGGTTGACAAGTGAAATGAAAGAATGGCAATGCAGCAGATCAATAGATGGAAATCAAAATCAGAAAGGGAAAGACGGGATAAAAAGGTGAGAGGAGAACAGACATCCAGCCAATCTGAAGGCGGAGACGACGAGCTGCGACCGGTCCGGACGGCGACTAACGAGAGAGAGCACGAAAGACAAGTTGAGTTGAGATGAGGAAAGGGAAAGGGAAGTGGGTTTCCAAGTCAAAAGAAGAGCAGGATGAAGATGAATGGTAGATAAGATATAGCATATGTAGGGCATGTTACGGAGCAAGCCAAGTTTAATATCCGTCCCACACGAAAGATTTCATGAAACCACCTTCATCTCCATTTTTCCGGTCCAAATTTGCCTCGATTGAGACATGAATTGGCGGGGCACGGGAAATCTATTCTCTTCGGCCATCCCTAATTCAAGTCTTGGCCGAAAGTCTGGAAAAAAAAGAAGGCAATCAAAATCACATTCAAGAAACAGGGATGCAAGAATTGACACCACAATATGTGGAGTTCAAGAAAAGAATGTTGAGCTACCCTCTCCTACAATTACAACCACGGAAAAAAAACGCATTTATGTTCAAACGTCAAGCATCATCACTGAATACGATGCCTTGACGAGTCCCATGCGACTCAAAGAGCTCGATGGAATAGCTTTCAGAAAGACACAAGTATATATGTAATAATCATTTGCTCTATAGATAAGGACATAAATAATCTTTAAATTTTAGCCTAATTTTCAATATCGTTCTTGAATTTTTAATTTATTTAATGTGATATATAAACTTTACCCTAATGTGCATTATTGTCCTTGAACTTTTAACTTATTCAACGTAATCCTTAAACTTTTGATAAATGTTAAATCTAATCTTTAAATAATATGAAAATATCAAATGTTATCCTTTTTATTGATTCAAGTTCATGGACAATATTGAACATTTTCATATAATCCATTGACTAAATTGAGTATGCACAAAAAGTTCATAGACCACATTGAACTTTTGGACCAAAATTCAAGAATCATTCGTGTTATTTTCTCTTTTCTCTAATAAAGATATTGCGTATTTCATTATGAGTCGCAATGATCGAGATCAAAATAGACGTTCATCCGATTTTTTTTTTTTACATGATCATCAAAATTAGGCAACTTACAGTTAATTTTACCGACAAAATGATGAAGATTCCTCATTCGTAACAAATTAACGTATTACCCTCTGTTCATTGGATTTTTCTTTATTTTTTTCTGCGGACTTTTACTCCACAAGTAAAATAATTGTACAGCGGGCAAGCAAAACCGAGAAGAAAAGTCAACACGAGACTCAGCAGTCACCCACACACAGCGAGGAAAAACAACCAAAAGGAGCATGCGTCTCTGACCATCCTCCGGAAAAATAGCCTCGGGGCGCGCATGAAATCCATTCTGGAGTAGAAATTCTGCTCCAGAATGCATTTCGAAACAGAAATATGTTTGTTAAAAAAATTTCCGGAATGCATTCTGGAGCAATTTTTGCATTCTGGAATAAAAATGCATTTGTTAAAAATACTTGATTCCAGAATGCATTTTGGGAAAAAAAAGATAAGCTACTTTTTATAGCTTCTCTCTTCCAGAATGCATTCTCCCTATTTTCTCTCTTTTTTTGGCCTTTACAACACATTTTGAGATCTTACTAATTTTTTTATAGAAAATGCATAAAAGTTGAAAAATTCCAGAAAAATTCATAAAAATTTTCAGAAAACAAAAAAAAGTCAGATTTCGGGAAAATAGAAAATTTGGTGAATTTTTTTCAAAAAATATAAAAAAATAAAAAATTTCAAAACTTCACAGAATGGCTTAGAATACCTTTGGGCACCCACTTTGAGTGAAATTTAATTTTTTTGAGGTGCTCAAAAAAATCAAAAAATCAAAATAGATTTTTGTTCCAGAAATCAATTTCTGGAGTAGAATTAGTCATGTTTTATCAAACATATTTCTCCTCCAAAAATCAATTTCTTGCAAGAATTTAATTTCTGGAGCAGAATGATTACCATTCACGTCCTCAGTAATTCCCATCTTTGGATGGTCACCGTATAAATAAATAAATAAATCTCGTCTATTGATTAAAGTATTTAAGGTTTTTTACGCGACACGACATTTGCCTACATTTTCTTAATAATTACGAAAAATCACGAAGAATTATGATGCGAATATCTTCTTCCCTCGGGACACAGAGGAATTCATAGAAAAACGCGACGAATAAAAAAGCCATTTCTTCCGAGCACAAGAGGAGGAGGTGGTGGTGGTGGTGTCGCTCTGGTGCCATCCACTTCCTTCCTTCCTTCCTTCCTTCTTCCCATCTCCATCTGCATCTCTCGCTCTCTCTCTCTCTCTGAATCCACCGAACCCTTCTCGCAGAAGGAGGAGGAGAGCGAGAGGAAGAGAGAGAAACATCACTTTCTTCGGCCGACGCGTGGAGGAGCAGTCATGAGGCGAGGGAGATGCGCAGCCGCCGCCGCCGCCGCCGCGAGGAGGGAGGCGGCCGACACAGCGTCGCCGCCGGTGCCGGTGCCGGCGCTGCACGCGGAACCCAGATACAGGGGCGTCCGGCGGAAGTCGGTGGGCAGGTACACGGCCGAGATCAGGGACCCCGGGACGAAGAGGCTCGTGCGGCTCGGCACTTTCGGCTCGCCGGAGGAAGCAGCGCGTGCTTTCGACGCGGCGGCCGTGGCGTTCCGCGGGGCTAAGGCCAGGACCAACTTCCCCGTCTCTCCGTCGAGCTTTTCTCCGGCCACCTGTCGCGATCTACGAGCTCCGTTGGTTGATCCCAGAACGTTCGGTAGGAGAGGCGCTCGAGATCTTCGCGGCGAGTACCACGACGTCGGTCCGCAGAGACCGACCTCGAGCAGCCTAAGCAGCACCGTGGTGTCGTCCAGCGGCCCTCGACCATCGCAGCCGGAGATTGCGAGTTCTCCGCCGGCGACGGCGAAGCGACGGACTAGGACCCCGCCGCCGCCGCAGCCGCAGCCGCCGCCTGAGGATTGTCGCAGCGGCTGCGGTTCCTCATCCACGGTGATTGATGACGAGGGCGAGGATTTCGCGTCTTCGTCGAGCAGAGAACCCTTGCCGTTCGATCTCAACCTCCTCCCGCCGCCGGAGATCGACGATTTCCGGCTCACATCTCTGTGCCTCTAATGAGCATGAAGACGAACCAACCCGTGTGATTTCTTGCGCTCTTTTCTTCTTCTTCTTCTTCCTCTTTATTACCAAGTTGAATCAATTAGCCTCTTCGATCACCCCTCCCCCCCCACACCCAAAAAGAAGAAAAAGAGTACGCCCGAAGAAGCGTGTGGTGTAATGAGATGTCACAACCTTTTACAGTCTAGGGTGATCATTGTCGCCACGATATGTATAAATAGCACGATGGTGATTTGCAATGTTCATCAATCTGAAGTCTGATGTGAGGAGAAATGGGGTTCTTTAGCTACTTCGACCCCAAGCTCACTGAAATTGTGTTTGTACATTTACCAGATGCAGTAATCACTAAAGAAATGGATTTTTGTGCCTCTATTCAGTTTCAATTTTGCTGAATCTCTATGGCTGCTTTGCCTGCATCTTATCATCTTAGATGTATGACAGTATGAGCTGTGGGAGAAGCTGTACGATGTAGCATTAGCATGGTGGCATATTAGCAAGTTTGGACACCGATTTGGAGAGCACTGAAGACTAATGGTGATGGTGATTAGTGGGCATTGCTTCTTTCGGAAGATGTGTGAACTGTGATTAGCAAGTGTTAATTTTTCCCAGTCGGATAAATTTAAGTATGTGTCTATATATTTTCTTTGAACAATGGTTGATCCTGTTCCGAAACGGTTCCACGCAAGAATGGGAGATTTTTCCTTCTATGGCAAGATTGACATTCTGCTGGGATATCTAAATACCTAGTTGTGTTAACTTTTGGTGACTGGGATGTTTCGGTTGATTGAATTGTATGTTGCTGCAATAACTTCAACATGTTTTTGGGACGACTTAGGCTGAGAATCCTGATTCTGTAGCCTTTGTAAATTCAGCTACATAGACAGGAGAGACTCTCTTTCTGAACTAAATACAGAGAAGGAAAGAGGCAATCTTTCGAGCAATATTTGAACCGGAACCAAGTCTATAAAGTTCACCAAATGCATATCGTATGTTCTTGTCTCTCTGGTTCCGACTAGTCGGAAGAATTCGAATCAGGAAACTTCTCAATGGCTTGGCACCTTCCAAGAGACAACAGAGAATTTCCTCGGCCTGTTCACGAAGCACTTGATGGACGGTACTCTTTCTAATTCGTATTTGGTTGTCTTTCTAATTCTTGGAACATATCGTAGCAACTAACATCTATGCAAAGGTTACTGACGTTCCTATGAATTGATGATTGGGACTGTGTGTACTTGCTGTTCCTTATTTAGCTCTTTGCGTCTGGCTAAGAAACTGGAAATTGGCTCTTTGTGGAGTTAGCAGTCTGATAAGAGTTAAAATGTAAAAACGAAGTATCGAAGTTGGCTGGAATTGCCGGAGAGAACGAAGCTTGAAGTTTGGATGGAAGCTGATAGTTATATTGCAGGAGTCCTAAAGAAAAGCTTTTTTTGTTGTGTTTTGTACTCGAAGAAAGGAGACAAGTAAATCCTTATTTTGTTCGCAATACTTTTTAGGGGAGTTTCAACCAAAAGAATCTCGAACTTATCAACGTTGAAAGACCATTTCTATTTGACCAAATTGCTTATTTTTTAGGTGGTTATGGGATTAAAGGAGCGCTAGCCCAATCCACTGGTTACAATCAAGTAAGAATATTCCATCAGTTCGATTCCCCCGTTGGATTTACACGTTACTGAACTCGGCTGTTCTCGTTAGTTTAAGGCTTGAAGCAAAGTGTTTTTTTTGGGTTAGTGTTCTACTCAAAAACTGAACTGATAGCTGGCTCGACCAAGCTTTAAGATTAGTTTGCAATCTTTTGTTGGGAGAAAGGGAGGTTTGGATGACAAAGCTGAGGCTAATCTTGACTCTTAACTCTGGCTCGAAATGGCTCCCCTACGTAGTTGCGTAATTTCGTTTTTCGATGAACAGCTTCTACATTATTGAATTTTAGCAACAAAAAAAGAAGCTTCTACATTATTGAAATGTTTTTATGAGAAGGTGGCGATGGATTCCCTTATGATCTTGTTAAGATATTTTAGAAATGAAATATATTGAGATGCGTTGGTGAGTACTAAAATATTGGGAAAAAAATCCTGTTTCTTTAGCATCTGGGAAAAATTATCCATATTTCACTTTTTTTTTTTGTGAAGAATCTCTCTTCTTGCCCCCACCCCTTCCAAAAAAAAAATCTATCATCTTCACGGTTTAACAATGTCCGGATTAGGAGTGAGTATGATCCGGGTTAGGCCGGTCCAGTACTTGACCCAGGACCAACCCGCAAAATATTATTGGTACCCGATTTTTGGGACAAGGGACCGATCCTGATTATGTCTAGGATCGAGGACTGGACGGACCCTATGGGTCTGGTCCGGTTCCAAGGTCAACCTGGGACTAAACGATTTTTTTTTTGTTTCATTTTTTATAATCCTTGAAAAGATAAACGTACTCTTTGAAATTATACATTAAGCAACCAATCGATGAACATCGGTACAAATCAAACATAAATCTAAGATGAGGCAATAACATAAATGTCGACTTACTAAAAGTAACAAACCATAGAAGACAAACATGCAAAATAAAAATAAACAATAAAAAGTTCAGAATATGTAACCTAAAACATGAATTATATAACTTAATATCTTGTCCATTCTTAAAATATTGCTTCAAATTCCGAACAGCTAGAAACAAAACAAACAACGTAGTTAATACTTAACAATAGTTTTAAATTGAAATTACTAGTAGTATAATTGATAGAACATCTCAATACTTATATTCATTCAACTTCAAATTGTAAACTCTATTTCTCCTCAATAAGATTATCCATATCTAAAAAGAAGAATTTGTTCATTATAAATAAAAGGAATTAATGAGTTAAAAAGAAATATGCATGACTTAGACTTACCTAATTCAAACTTTTCAACATTCTCAATTCACTCTTCAACATTGATAGGCTTGCCCAACCCAACCATCGAGTCATCCTCGCTCCTTCAATAGAAACTAATGTGGCGTAACCATCGCTATAATCACATCAACAGCTCATAATTGCCTCATCGTCTACATCCCTTGAATTCACCAAGTTCAAAAGAGAAAACCACTAAAATCTAAGTCTAACTAATCCAAAACGTAGAGAGATATCTCTCGCCTCCAATTACGATCAAGCGAAAAACACTCCGTTCCAACAAAGCTAAGCCCGTCGTCCACAACGCCACCTTATAGAAAGATATGAAATAACGAAAAGAATCAATGACACGCATGTAGCAGTAGAAATACAGCTGATTCAGTCATTGGAGTTAGAAGCGCGAAAAGGAGGGGAAGATAATCAATTCCTGAGTTCAAATGAGTGGAGAAAAGACGAAGGGATCACCCAAAGAGATGAAAATGAAAGATTTGAGCGATAATTTGAGATTGGGTATCAAAGTGAGAGGAGGCTCTGGAAGAGGAAAACCACAGAAGAAGAGGGGTACTTATAATTATATACCTAGGTTTACACACACACATAGAAAAAAAGATAACTACAGGGTTGGTCAGGGACCAACCGTAAAATCTAAAGATTAGAGATGAACTCGCATAATACAAATTCCAATGGTCTCGGGATTAGGAATTGGCCGGATTGGATCGGTCCAGGGTCGATGTTACAATCCTGGACCAATGCTCATCCCTGGTCGGAATTATACTCTCTAACATTTCTTTCTGCAAAAGTTCTTTTTTGCTCAAAATTTCATTATTCTAAGAGAATTTACCACACGCGAGGGCATAACCAAAATGTTCTACGATACGATCACCGATTAGACCGCGTACGGCCCATTTGGCCCGGTGATCGTACTCTGGCCCCGCGCTTTCCCCCCCGGTAATTTCGGTTTGGCGTACTCGAAAAATACACGCGGCGGTAGCAGCGCGCGTCGTTTGATTGGGATTTGAACAACCTATCTGGTTTTGTCTCCAAGGGGGTTAAAGAAACGCTGTCGTTTTGAATCACCCACTCGAGCGACAGCTTCTACCCATGTCCGTCCTGTTTCTCTTTGCTTTCCGTCGGTGCGAAGGGACTCTCCTCCCAACGCGCGAGACAAACCGGAAATCGGATTTTCTTTTTTTCCTCCGCTATTAATTTCTCGCGTTCTCTCATTCGATTTCGAATTCGCCGCGGAACGAGGTCGGGTTTTTCGTTCCGCTCGCTCGAGAATCATGGAGATTTCTCCGGTTCCGATCAGCACGTGCTCCAAAGAGAATCAGCAAATCTACCAGGAATGGTTCGACTGCGCTGATACAGGTCAGGTTCTCCCTCCCTCCCTCCCTCCCTCTCTTTTGTTTCTGAGATCGCGTTTGCGAACGGGATCATCTGTCGATGGGCATTTGCGGAACGTGATGCGTGAATGCTGTTGCTTGTTTGTTTGTTCGAAAGCGGAGTTCAGGACGATCTTTTTTTCCCTTTCTGGTCGTGCATTTTGTTGCGCGGTGTCGGATCATTTTTTGTTTTGTTTTGGTTGTTGTTCTGATGGCCCCGTGTGCATTGTCAGATGGGGATGGGCGCATCACGGGGAGCGATGCCATTAAGTTCTTCGCCTTGTCCAATTTGCCTCGACCGGACCTCAAGCAGGTTCTTGTTGTACTACTTTCTGGGCGTTGTTTGTTCGCATTTCGTTTGTATTGTGTTCTTTCTCCCGCTAAAGTGCGGTGATCCTTTGCTTTTTTCCTTGTGATTGGAGGATTATGTATATCCAGTTAGAGCTGAATTGGTGGAACAATCTAGCAGTTGTAACCCGAGTTGCTTCATGATTCATTTTTTCCATTTTGTATATTTGAGTGATATGAGCAACCAAAACAACATTTGGGTTGCAAATCTTTTTCATTTTTTTCATTGGCCAAGTATTCCGAAAATGGTAAACTATGTGTAGGGAGAATAACAGGTTCCTGATGGAGGATAACTTACTATAAATCATGTAGCTGCAATGTCGGTCTCACGATCTATTAAGTGATAATTTCTTCTCAGGGTCGACTATCCATCTTTTCTCGGTATTCAGGGGAAGAAAAAGTCCACCTTGTTTAAAGATCAGCCTCCGTGTATAGAAAGAATGTTATTTGCGCATCATTTATTGCTGGATCCACTTTATTTTGTAGGAGTCGCTTCTTATCCTCGAATCTGTACTTACATGATTCTTATTTTGGACCACGGCCTTTAAAATTGCACTATTACTACTGCATGAGCGTTTCCTCCTCCCTGCAGCGTCGTTTGATTGTTGACTCTATTCGAACTCTTTTCATCCCTTGTTTTCCCATCAGGTGTGGGCAATTGCAGATTCCAAGCGACAGGGTTTTCTTGGCTTTGGGGAGTTCATTACTGCAATGCAGGTATCATGGAAATATTTGTCATGGACTATTAGTTTTATTTTTGTGTTACTGACCTGTTTTTCTCCCTTTAACCTGTAGTTAGTGTCTCTTGCACAAGCTGGACAATCAATCACACAAGATCTTTTAAGCAGTGAAAGTAAGCTATCAATTCAGACCTTTTATTACAAGTAGTCATGTGAATTTATGGTGAAAAATCTTGCACCGACAATTTCCTGTCAGAAGCATGATATCATAAGATATGTAGCTTTTTTCCTATCACTAATATATTTGCAGGTGCTGCAGTTGACTTGGTAAATTTGAGACCTCCTACAATGACTGGTCTAGATGCCTTACTAGCAGTAAGTCTGCCCTCCCTCTGTTCTTCATGCTCGTTTAATCCTGCATTTGACTATTTTATCCCTTTTTGATAGAAGAAAAAGCGTTCGCCAAAGACAAACGAGTCCGATTCTAATGGTGAGGAGCTTATCTTGAGAGACATATTTTAATTGACAATGTAGTCTCTGACTAGCATTCATCTTGAGAGTATTAAGTTACGTATTTTAGTTGTCAAAGTAGTTGCTGACTAGCAATTATGCAGGCAGTTCTCACTCTCAACCATCACCAGCTGCCGGTTGGTTTTCTTCGAAATCATCCAAAAAGGTGCATCATCCTTCCATCAGCTCTAAATACTCCTGCAACAGAAGATATCATCTTTCCTGATGCACTTTATCCACCTACCATCATAATTGCATCACATCACCTATCTTTTGCATCCATTTTCTCATCATTTTTGAGTTTGTTGAAGTCTTTGGCACAATCGTGGCTGTACCGGACAGAACAGCTTTGGTGTGGTGGCATTGGGTTGATTGCTGTGTTCTAAAGTGCCAATATTGATAGATAATAATTAAACCCTCTGAAATAGTTGTCCACGTTTAGTAATATTCATTTATTCTCTTAGAAGCGTTTGGAAATTTGGCTTCTAGGCATATGTCCTCTTCCTTAGAAAGTGGTCCTCAAGCTGTCGCAGTTTCTTTTGGCATGGTAAACTCCATGTACGCATAAATAATATTCTTCATCCTACTTTTTGGGTTTTTTGACTGCATGCTCTGTGCTGCGAAGTGACCTTCCTATGAATTATTTATTTCTATGGATATCTTTACAACTCAGTTCCTTTCATGTTAACTCTTTAAACTGTCTTTATGTGGCTTTTTCCAGATATCTCTTTCCTCGGTTACATCCATTGTTGATGGCTTGAAGAAACTGTATATTCAGAAGCTGAAGCCATTGGAAGTCACTTACCGCTTCAATGACTTTGTGTCACCATCATTGGTGAGTAAGAAACTACTGACAATTATACAGGGAGTCTTTCACCTAAAAGTATCTACCAACTTTTGTCTAAATAGTTGGCACAGTGAACTGATTGTTGCTGTTTGACATTTCTGTTGCAGACAAATAGTGATTTTGATGCCAAACCAATGGTAATGCTTTTGGGTCAATACTCCACTGGAAAAACAACTTTCATCAAGCATTTACTAAAAAGTAGTTATCCAGGTAACTTATCCTTCTTCTTTTCTGCCCTCCCTATACTTGTACAAGATTCTCTTGGTGTGCTCATTGTCTATTATTGTTTTACAGGAGCTCATATTGGACCTGAACCAACAACTGATAGGTTTGTGGTCGTAATGGTATGGTACTGGAAATCTTTTATAGCCAGTTCAGTAAAGAATAATGTTAGGTATACTAAAACTAGTCAAGTAAGTTGGTTTATTAAGTGATGTGGAACAGTTATGTTGGATGGTTAAATATGGCTGGTTTGTTCGTAGGCCTACTTATGTCACTTCATTTACTGAACTAATTTAGTAGACCAACCTTAGTATACCTAGCATTTTTCTTATATAAAAGAACAATTAGGTACAGGCATGTTCATTGAACAAAGTCTCAATCTGCACCCTCTCTAATTAGTTGATGGAAGCTGTTGGTAATGTTAGGCTTTCTCTTTTTGTGAATATTATCTTTTAAGTAAAAAAAGTCCAAAAGCTAACTGAGTCATTATGCAGTCCGGGCCGGATGAAAGAAGCATCCCCGGAAACACTGTTGCAGTCCAAGCAGACATGCCATTTAGTGGCCTGACAACATTTGGAACTGCGTTTTTGTCAAAATTTCAGTGTTCCCAAATGCCTCATCCCGTGAGTAGTTCTTCTCAGCATGATCTCTCAAACTCTGTACATTGTGCTTCACACTTTCTGCAGATACTTTAATTTCTATCTCGTCTGTATGTGTATCCTTTTGCATGCCTGAAGCTACTGGAGCACTTCACTTTTGTTGATACTCCTGGAGTTTTGTCGGGTGAGAAGCAACGAACACAGCGTGCCTATGATTTTACAGGTGTAACTTCATGGTTTGCTGCAAAGTGTGACCTCATTTTGCTCCTATTTGATCCTCACAAGCTTGATGTAAGCGATGAATTCAAGCGTGTGATCTCTTCTCTACGTGGTCATGACGACAAGATTCGTGTGGTTTTGAACAAAGCTGACCAAGTGGATACCCAACAAGTGAGAATTGAACATCCAACTGCTATTTTAATTCGTTAATTATCAAAGCACCATTTCATCTTGCAGTAGTCTTATCTGATTATCCTTTTTCTGTTGCAGCTGATGAGAGTGTATGGAGCGTTAATGTGGTCTCTTGGTAAAGTCATAAATACTCCAGAAGTTATGCGAGTCTACATTGGGTAGGTTCCAATCAACATAGACCTGCAAATCTTATGCTCGTTCTTGATGTTCACATTTACAACATAATGACATGATCATTCTTTTAGTCACTTTTCCGTGCAATCGTTAGTGACATGACAAAGAATACATGGGCCCTTTTGTTAACAATTCCTTTTTGAGCATCATTTTGGTTGCAGGTATTGAAATTTAAAGTCATACTGTTGCATTTACGTCTCTCTGGAAGTTTCCAGCATGTGTGGTTTGTTATGATTAATATTCCCGTGTATTATTCTGTCTGATCATATGCAAAAGATATCTGACGACTTATTAAAGTTGTTCTTCATTCCGTGTAAGGCTTTTTCTAAAGCCAATGACGAATTAACATCTTGGATTTTTCGGCAGCTCATTTAATGACAAACCTGTGAATGAAGCTGCTACTGGTCCCATTGGAAAAGAACTTTTTGAGAAAGAACAGGAGGACCTTTTATCAGACCTAAAGGATGTCCCAAAGAAGGCATGTGATCGTAGGGTAAGTGAATGCTTCATGTTACTCTGCATGCCTTTGTGTTCTTATAGAATATTTAGTAATTGATAATTGTGAGTACCTAATTTTTCCCCACTCAAGTAATTTTCATGGCGCTTGATGAATTTCAATTTTATATGATTCTACCAGATTAATGAATTTGTGAAACGTGCTCGAGCTGCTAAGATTCATGCGTATATCATCAGCCATCTAAGAAAGGAGATGCCTGCTATGATGGGCAAAGCTAAGACCCAACAGAGACTCATTGATAATTTGGAAGACGAATTTGCCAAGGTTCTCCCTCCTCTTCCATGTGCACGCATTCTCAATTTAGGTTTTTCACTTGTTCATCGCATGTGTGGGGTTGCAGGTTCAGAGAGAGTTCCATCTACCTCCAGGGGATTTTCCAAATGCGGAGCACTTTAGGGAGACATTAAGTGGTTACAATATTGATAAATTCGAGAAGCTAAAGCCAAAAATGATACAAGCTGTGGATGACATGCTGGGTTATGACATCCCAGATCTCTTGAAGAATTTTAGAAATCCTTACGATTAGGGATTTGTTACAACCAAGTACTTGAGCGATTGTTCACATTTATGAACCCTACCTATAGAAATTTATCGTGGCCCTGTATGATATTAGTATTCTTTGAGAAGCATGCAACTGTCGAGGCAAATTATGTTCTTATTAAAGCGGTTGGAAATGATTATTTTGGTCCTCCCACACTTGTTCCTCTCTTTCTTGCAAACTGATGGTCATGAAGTTGATAGATTTCCTTTTGGAACTGTTTCTAATACCTTAATGATGCTCTTGCTATTGTCATTGATACTGAAATGTTAATAGTACTGGTTGAGAGATAATCTGGTTCTATCTATTCTTGGCCAATAACTCGACAACCCGGCAGAAGATGGCCCTTCTGGCGATGAGTAATTACCAGGAAAAAGAAATAAATGAAGGAATGCAAAATCAGTTAAAACTTTTCTGTTTAAACAGCTGGTGATGAACGGAAGGAGTATTCTGTGTAGTCACCTTTTTTCCAAAATAATGAACCCGAAATTGACTTCCATTTGGTATAGCGGAAATGATCGACTTTTCACAAATGACGCGAACTGGATTATACATTGGGATGCGTCGTATTTTCTCGATACGCCACAAACGGAATTCATGTGCTTCAGATAGGACAGCTTGTAGTTTGTACACAAACTAAAATGGTTAGAAGCAGATACAGAAGAGCAAACTTCTCTCACTAGATAGAAGGATAAGAAATACAGCAGCAAGCAAATGACAGCCTATCCACATCCCTCTCTATGTCTCTCTGTCTCTGTCTCACTCATAATATGAACCGCAGCCTCATCTCTTATTAGCACCACCCATCTCTAAAAAGGATAAAAAGGAACACTCTTATTTCTCTCTCCTCCTCGTCCATGGCTCCTCTGACTTTAGGCATCAGAAGAACTTGTGGAAAAAGAGGATCCCTGGATCAGAATCGCAGTCCTTCATCTCCTCCTCCTTCTCGCCCGTTGACTCGCCATCATTATTATGGCAACTGAAGAAGTGGGTGTTGCTCCTCACTTGTTCCGGACCTCTCGCTTTCCATCCGTTTTCCGGCGCGTGATCGACGGTCTTGATGCGCTTGTGGTTCTCCGGGAGCGAGTTCGTCTGTCCCGGCGTCGACAGAGAGTCGTCGCTGTGGCCTCTTTTCGTGCTCATGGTGAAGCCGCCCAAGAAAGTCTCCACTGTGGCGGACTTGAGGGTCCAGGAAGCTGATCAGAAACTGCCCGAACAGACCAAGTAAAAACGACAGCTTCGTGAGGGATGGTGTTTGTTTTCAAAGACCGCAAGAATTGTCTTCCCACGAGAGGTCACGTGACCCAGTTGATGATGATGAAGCTGTGTTAGTTTAAAAAACGTTAATTAAACGTGGGATTAATACAAAACCTAACTTAATACCCTTTCCACTGGCAATTGGCAAGCAAGATAGACAATTAAGATATGGTTTCGACATCGTAATGATGACCGTGAGAACATAAATACGGCCATATTGATATAGTGCCATATTTCATACCGACTCAAATTCGTTTCAAGCTTTCCTCATCCGATCGCTGCTTAAATTGTATATCCCAATAGCACGTTCATTTCTGAAGAATTCATATGTGAACGTCTATCAACAATAACTTGCTTGGCTTTGACCGGTTCTAAACTCTTAATCGGATATGTACCGTAATATCTCACAGCATTAAAGATGGCCGACTCATTCAGACTTTCGAAAGTTTTATTATATAGCTTAAGTAACGTGCAGTATCAATGATCTTAGAAATAGTAAAATGTCAACTAGTTAAGCTCTTCCATGCTACATGTCACTTAAGGCAAATACCTAATCACGAAAGTAATCTGCCCAATATATTATTCTTTTCCCACATAACCATTCTCTTAAATATTTAAATATTTGCAGGACTAGCATCGATGCGGGTGATGTGGCCGGATCATCCCGCGTTCCACATCGAAAAATGTTCATGTCGCGAGACTCGTTCTCCCAAAACTCGTCTTGACTTGGACCTTGTACAGTATATGCATGTGAGGTTGTGTCATTGTCTACGCATTTATGTCCTCCTCGAATCGACTAAATTCCAGTCGAAATTAGGTCCACAGCAGTTTGTAGAAACTTGAACTGCAACGAGACAACGTGAGTAATAATTTTTGCTTCTTAATTTGGGAGTCATCGTAGCTAGCGGCAAGATTAATTGCACGTTTGTCGGGTGATTCACCCAGTTGAGCTTATCTTAGCAGACCCTTTAAGTTTTGTCACTCGGATATGATATTAAATTCCCTAATAATTAGAACAAAACAGATGCAAATGAAGATTCATAGATTTGATTTTATTATATAGTAGAGCCAAAACTAAATTTCTTGGAGAAAAATTATTCCAATCATCTACATAAATTTGGGTTTTTCCATGGGAAACAACCTGGTGACGTTATTCTAAAATAAAGCAAGCAGCATGACGTGTTTACCATCTTTGACGGGATTGGCTGGTTCTACTTGAAACCGTCAAAAGAAGAAGATAAGCCTATACAATGCGAAAGACAAGGCGCTTATATTACTTGATCTAATTCGGATGGACTTCTTCAAATTTGCAGTAAAATACTAAGTTCGACCCCGCACGAAACTGGAAAAGCAAAGATCATATCACGGAACTAGGAAACTAGCTAGATTGGTTTTCATGACATGATCGGCTAAGATACCATTCGTTCTCTCCGTCGGATGAAACGAATCCCAGAACACGTACTTGTTCGCGTCCGGGCACGTGAACGGGTTAATTTTGTTGCACAGATAACCCATCTCGAAGTAGCCGGTTCCGCAACAGGATTCTTTTGCATTCGGGAATCCTGCAGTCAAAGTAAGGTTACGTTAGATTCTGATATTTTGGAAATAGTTCTGTTCTGTTCCCGATTCTGTTCATTTCTTTTCTCAATTTGAATTTTCTTTTGGTACTAGCGTTGCCTGTTCAACAAAGACTCTGCACCTTTAGGCCTCTTTGAAATTATGGAGCAAAATTTTAACTCGTCCCCAAATCAAGAACCGCGCATGCAAGGTCGGAGCTTACCGAACGATTCCGGATTCTGAATGATTTGGAAGAGAAGACCATACGGATCAGAGAACACTAGTTGGATTCCTGAAAGTTGATTGTTCAGCTTCGAGACCAGGCCCTGCATCTCCACATTGAACTCCTTAGCCACATTGTTATACTCCTCGATACAACCGCCTCCGAAAAGAAGGTTCCTGGTTCTCTCCAGGGGCAAGCACCCCATGGGCGGAAGCCCGCCCAGCATTATTTTCCGAGCTCCTAACCCATAAAGAGCTTCGACGAAGCCTCCTGCAATTCCTGCTAGGAAATTTCGGTACTCTTCGATGGAGTACTCTGATGATCTGCCCGGAACTGCATAGTAATTCTCTAGGAAGTCGTTGGTCCCTAAACTAATGATGTACAGTGCTTCTCTTAGGACTGATTCGGCCTTTTCTTGTCCGAGATAGTCCTTGAGCTCTTCCCGGTACTTCTTGTAGTACTCCAGTTGTTTCCACAGAGGAATCACAGACTGCACGTCAATTTAGGATGGTGAAATGCGAATTAGTTAGATGTTACAACTCCGATTTCTAGTATTGATGTAAGAAACGAAACTCCCGGTATTCAGTTTGCTACCCGGTATAGAAAAGAGGACTCAAACGAAGGTCTAACTTTAGTGGAAATGTTATCAAACAAGAACTCTCATTTGCGAGATGTTTGATTTCTCTGTAGACATTGCTTTGGCTTACCAGAACATTGGAAGTGGCATTGTCGTAACCGGTTCCGGCTGAGGCAAAGCAAACGCCAGTGGCCATATCTGTCATATTATGTGCTGGATCCAAGTAAGCCGGCATTGTCAATTTGATCCCAAAAGCCTCTGAAATGAAGTCCGTGAACACTCGGCCGTTAGAAAACCGTCCTGTGGGCCGACCACCATAGAAATCGCGACCATAGGGCTCAAAATTACTTTTGACAACAGTAGCAATTTGGTTGTTGTTCCCGGTATCTACCGAGGAGTCCCCGAACACGATAACTGCGGGCACTTCTGTCAAAACTATCTGGAGTTGCAGTAGAAGATTCGCTAGCACGACACCAAAAACGGCCTTGTGTGCCATAGGTTGGGGTTCTGATTCAAGTGATTCCCTACCAGGAACAAGTAATTGAGACGAGCTGGAGCGGAAAATGGTAATTAGTATGAGAGAAGATGAAAAGTAGCGGGGTCTTTGAACTGTTTATAGTTGGGGTTACTAATGTAATGGTACTATTCAGGAAGTTGATGAAGAACAAGTCACTCAGGACATGACAATCCTAAATGCAGAAAGCAATTCACTAGAGTGTGCAAATAAGCATCTACCGGAGCGTTGAGCATTGGCTTTCACTTCATAATTATGATGTTGAGATTGAAAAGAACAGGTGGTTTGTGTTGCTGGACATGACCATTATGTTTCTAACGGCTAAGGTTTGCGATGTATTCCTTAGCATCTTCCGGGAAAAGCAGTAAATATGATCCAATGTTAAAAGAGGCTTTCAAGTCCGGATCCCTAAATGGTTCGCAGTCCTTAGCATCCAATGTGTATTTCTAAGCCGAGCGTAGCTAAATGCAGTCGACGTAATGTCGTGTCACGTCCTTTCGAGGCTGTAGACCGTCCATTGCACTTGAGAAGCAATCCTGATACCTTAAAACATCCTTGCTTGGCAGTTGCAACTTCTTTCTGGCTCCTGGTAGTTGCAACTCCCTACAAAGGAAGGATAAAAGCTTTCATGTGCTTCTGATGCTTTTTGGGCCGAAAGTTTGCACTTTGCAGTGGGAGTAGTCACATTTCAAATGTGAACCCCCCTAACCTCTGTACCCATCCACTTGCCTTGCGGGTTACGTCGCTTTTGTAACCGCCATGAAAATCTGGCCCTTGACCCATCAATCGAAAAAATTGTCCAAAAAATCATAAACTTATTGCACTTTTGCCAATTCTTTTTTAGCCCTTTCAATTTTGCCAATTGAGTCCTAAACCTTTTCACTTCTTGCCAATTTAGTCTATTCGATCAATTTTGACCGGAAATCACCAACGTGGACGCCGCTGGCCAACGTGGCGCTGAAGTAGACACTTTTTAATAATATTTTAATATTTTTCGAATTTTTTTACTTTTCTTTTCTATTCCTTTTTCTTTTTTTTCCTCCCCTTCTTCTTCCTTCGGTTGGTCGTTGAGCCTGCCGAGCCTCTGTCACTCAGAGGTGAGGCGAGGCTGGCGAGGTTGACCTCACCAGGCCTCGGCGAAACCTCGCCTCCGCTAGCCATTGGCAAGGAAAATGGGAGAAAAAAAAAAAAAAAAAAAAAAAAAAAAAAAAAAAAAAAAAAAAAATAAAAAAAAAACTCGTCAATCCGTAGGGGTTGGCGAGGCCGATTTCGCCAATTGGTGGGGGCTCGACAAAGTAAGGCTCGCCCTCAGTTAAAGGTTTGGACATTAAAAAATGGTTTAGTGACAAATCCTAATCGAGGCGCGTTTTCTTGTAGGTCTTTACATTTAAAAACTTAACGTCCTCATAAGTGGTTGAGATCCTATTTTGCCTACGGCCGATTGTTATGGCTCGGCGAGAGCGCCCTACTTGGGGTTAAGAGGAAAAATGGGAGAGAAAAAAGAAATAAATGAAAAATAAAATAAAAAAATCGACAACTATTATAATATTATTATTTTTATTTTTCGAATTTTTTAGTTTTTCTTTTCTTTTCTTTTTCCTTTCCTTTTTTTTTTTTCCTTCATCTTCATTGGACCAACAATGGATTGTTATATTGTAATTGATACCACAATAACGTGACACGTAACATAAATGCTACATTTTGACCCAAAATAAAAACATAAACGCTAAATGAAAGACTTCCTTTTATATGCATGAATTTTCATGACAACCACTTTTTCTACATCTAAATGTCTCACGTTTTATTTATTATATATTTCAAGTGATCATATTGATTTATGAATCGCCATGCACATATAATATCTCTCATCTTATCTATAAAATATACTAATTTTGTAAATTAAAGACTTAATTAACTAAAATAAAATAAGTTTAAGACTTTTTGGTCAATTTTCCCGCATCAATCCCCTAATCGAAATTGCGCGTTTTCTTGTAGGTCTTTTACATTTAAAAACTTAAGAAGTCCTCAATCAGTGGTTGAGATCTGCTATTTTGTGAGTTCTGGCCCAACAGCTACGAATTATTATTTCCCGAGAAATTGCGAGAGCGCCTCATACTTAGAAAAACCTCAAACGGTGTGCAAGTCACTTATTTGCAAATTCATCCTTACCTTTCTCATCGTCTACACAAGTTTCCAAGTCTTATCTATATCATTTCTTAACCAGTTAACAATGCAAGGCTTGCCTGCCCCTGCCACGAGCTAAAACACATTAGCGTTTTGTTAAAGTAGTCGGGAGACATTAAAAAAAATTAATTTTCGATCCAACGGCAGAGCACGATTGTCAGCCTGCGGCCGACGTTGAATCCGATCCATTCAACGACGGACAAGGCCCGTTTGTTTAAGAGCAAGATTGGGTCGAGCGAGTCCTAGAATACATGGCGTGCGAGAGTGCATCCTTGGGCTCATTGGGCTCATTCATTCCCGTGGTAAGTCGGATCAATAGTAATTCATTAAGTACTTATCACCCTCCCATGTTTATAAGGAAAAAGAAAACAAATTATATGACTCCGTTTGTTTCTCGAAAAAAAAAATTTATAAAAAAAATTTCTTAAAATGATCGCTTGTATCTGCTATGTAAATATATGAAAGAAAAAATATTTCCTTTCTTTATCCATGAAAATATTTAGATATAAATTGTTGTTGGTAATGAAAATATTTTTTATTGACTAATTATTTTAAGTGATATAATCGATCTTTTTTAGGACAATCTTTTCTAAATCATTCTTTTTTCGCGAAATAAATGGAGCCTATAAGAAAAAAAAAAGGTAAATCAATATTCCCTTTGTTTTATGGAAAACGAATGTATTGAAAAATCTTCCTAAAAATAAGTACTTTTATCTTTTGATATAATTAGCTAATAAATTTTTTTTCATTATCGATAATAATTTATGTCTAAACATTTCGTGGACAATACTTGTCTTTAGGAAAATAATACATATAGTTCATGAATTTTGGTCCAGTGTGTAATGTCGTCCCTAACCTTTTAATTTGTTCAATGCAGTTCCTGAATTTTGGTCCAATGTTCAATGACGTCCATAAACTTTGAATTTGTCTTGAACTTTGATCCAATGTTCAATATGATCCATGAACTTTTAAACATTTTTATATAGTTTAGGAACTACATTGAATATTTACCGATAGGTTAGGGATTATATTGAAAAAGTTAAAAGTCTAATGATGGCATTGCACATTAGATCAAATTTTAGGGACCACATTATACAAATTAAAAGTTCATGGATGGTATTGCACATTGGACTAAAGTTCAAGGACCATTTGTGCCATTATCCATTTTTTCTTTCATCCATTTTTGTAAGTAATATAAGTGATCCTTTTATGAGAAATATTTTTAAAATTACTCATTTTTTGCGAAACACAATGTACCTCAAAGTAAGCAATTTTATAAGGCTTAATATCACGAAAAACCCCAAACTAGTACACCTGTGACAATTTTACCCCGAAATATTTTTTTGACCATCAAAAACCCCACATTGGTACACTTGTGACAATTTTACCCCGAATTAATTTTTTGACTATCAAAAACTCCAAACTGGTACACCTGTGACAAATTTGCCCTCCGTTAGTTTCCGTTAAATTTTACTGTTAAATTGTAATGTTTGATGACACGTGGTAGTTGACGGGTGTACCAGTTTAGGGTTTTACCCCTCTGTTTGTCACAAGTTTACCAATTTGTGATTTTTCATGATATTAATCCAATTTAACCGACACTAATGGAAGGTAAATTTGTCACAAATGTACAAGTTTGAGATTTTTAGTGTTAAAAAAATTAGTTTGGAGTAAAATTGTCACAGGTGTACTAGTTTGGGGTTTTTTGTGGTCAAAAAATTAGTTCGGGGTAAAATTGTCACAATTGTACTAATGTGGGATTTTTTATGGTAAAAAAATAATTCGAGGTAAATTTATCACAGATGTACCGGTTTGAGATTTTCGTGATTAAAAAATTAATTCGAAATAAAATTATTATAAATATATCAATTTGAAGTTTTTTGTGGTATTAACTCATTTTACAAATATATTCGTTGAAGTACACGGAAGCACAGGATAAGAGGGACCCTTTTCTTGGACGTTTCTCTTTGTAACATGTCTCTCTCTCTCTCTCTCTTTCTGCAGTCAACACTGACCTACCTGTTCACTTAAAAAAAAACATTTCTGTATAGGGCCCAAAGTTAGCTGAAAGGAAAGGAACCTATATTATATGTAACTACGCATAACAAGGTAGCATACATTTTTAGCTTGATCTGGATTGGACGAGCGACAGCCCCACTTCTCTGGTTCTTATCTTGTCCATGGACGTGGAGATGCTACCAATTTATTTCTCCATTCCGACGAAAATCCTCCATGATATTTTAACTGAGTAGATAGTATATTAAAGATGATATGAATTGAAAACGCTGAACTTTAACGCCCGAGTCGACAAGCGAGCAGGGGACCTGCATCCCCTCACTTATTGCGCATCTCCGGTTGGGTAAGTGGAACCCACAATGGTATATACAAGAGTACCTTTTGGGGATCAAGTTGCTCCTCTTTTGGACATATATCCTTTTAAAGAAAAAAATTGATATGCTGTGGACGAGTCCCGTTCTTTTGGAATTGTCTCCTGTTTCCTAGTGTGTAAAAATTAGCTATTCAGCTTCAATCCGCTCACAGGTACAGAGACACGAAGAGGGTAGTCAGAGATTTTCCATGGCGGCTTCAAAGCTCCAAGCTTTTTGGAATCACCCGGCAGGACCAAAAACCAGTTCGTATCCTGTTATTTCCTGTCTTCTTCTCTCTGCTTTAGCAATCGTTTCTTCTCGCAGGCTATTTGTTGAATTTTTGTGCTGTGTTTTGTACATATTGAAACTTGCAAGCTAAGTGAGAAGATTGAGTGTGACTAGTGATCATCATTTGATGCGAGGTGTTATACATGGAGCAATTGGAGTTTGTTGAATAGAGGTTTACATAGAATGACTAGAGCATGCGACAATGAATGGATTGATGGGTGATCATACCAGGTTTCTGCCGGAAAATTTTCGATGTCATACTCGTCAGAGGATTACAGTGATAATGATTACTGCAGATTACTAGTTTACGGCGATCTTCACTGTTTCTCGAATCAAATCTCAAAAGTGGATTCACCATTAGTAGCTGGATATTTCTTTGGGAGGCTCAAAATTTTGAGCTGTCTAAGCAAATGAAACTGCGAAATCAAAGTCATACACGCTGAACAAAGCCCACGAGCGAGAGGGAGAAAGTGGGAGAAAAAGGCAAATGAAATCGAGCCCCCAAGGGGGGTGTCTTAGTTGATAGAAACCACTCTCCCAGTATATCACATGATGCCTATATAGAGTTACACGATGAGCTTAGGCACAAATCCTTTTGAGGTTTTGTCGTCGCACTGCTGCCAATTGGAGATGGGACTCCGTTGCACTTTTTTCTCCACTACTATACTTAAAAAGTCATTTTTGTCTCTGAACAAGAGGAAGGCTGTGTGTGTCAAAGTTCGCATGCTCATAAAACACTATGAGGGAAGCTTAAATGCAAGTCATATATTTGCTTTTCATTTAATGAAACAGTGATTTCCCAATTGAGGAATTTCCCTCATAACCAAATGGATCTCGCCATGCCATTTGTTCTGTCTGCTGACTGCCTACTTATTCTTCATCCATCCATTTGTAAAAGTGTATGATGCAGTAATATGTGTGATCAAGTTGATTGTTGGATGTTATGACCATTGCAGTTCACTTTTGGGCCCCGACTTTCAAGTGGGTTATCAGCATAGCCAATGTCGCTGACTTCTCGAAACCACCTGAAAACATCTCTTACCCTCAGCAATGCGGTTTGCACCTTCCACAAATCCCAAGTTTCACTTTTTTGGTCGATGTATTCTACTTATTGTTCAGAAAATTCCGATTTGGATATATCAGCGGGGTGAGATGTCTGGGTTGTCGCTGTTCATTGATTTGCAGTTGTTGCTTGCACTGGAGTTATTTGGTCACGCTACAGCTTGGTGATTAAGCCGGTACGCTTCAATTACAGTCTTGATACATTGGGAGACTTCTAAGATTTCTAAAAGAAGCATATAGACCATAGAGTATGATTTATTGCCTGTTCTAGTGCAAAACATGATCAATATTTGAAGAATTAATGTGTTATAATCCATCCTCTGCTGCACACGAAGGATTCTTCCACTATCTCCTAAATTACTATCTTCTGGTTTATGAGGTTGTCTTCACGCCTAGCAATGGTCCATTAGAGCTTCTAGTGAAAGTTTTTGTAATTTTATGCCAGTTGATGATACAAATTTGCATTCATCTTGATTTTTACTTTGTGGAATCATGATGCTGAAGAAAACACGGTCTGGATTACTTGTTTGATTGTGATATGCTTCAAGCATCAAGTTCTTTGAGAATAGTGAATGAACCCAGATGTATTTATACAGCGAAAACAAAAAGGAAAATCTTTACTTGTTCCATCTATTATACTATCACGATTATATGCTGAAGAAGCAACATATTTTAGTCGTATGTTCATGTTGATGTTTGCCATATTCTGACATCATGCCTGTCCTAGTTTAATTAGGGCCCTGCCTTCAACAAGATAGGGGTATTGCCTTCTCTTGCCTTGAAGGATTACACTGCATTTTGTAAAGTCGATTACATTTTTCATAATATTGCAGAAAAACTGGAATCTCTTCTGCGTGAACATGGCGATGGGTGGGACCGGGATCTATCAACTGTCTCGGAAATATCTGTGAGTCGAATAATTTCTTACCAAAGTATAAGATTAGTTCAGCATATTCCAGGGATGGTAGGATCTCCCTAATGTTCAAATGAACTTCCTTGTAACATGACTACTTAAAGGCTTCTTCATGCAAGGCATGTTCTACTTGTTCTCAGTGTTCTCGTTTCATTGCATTCCATTCACGGTCACTGTTATATAATGAGACTCTCAAACATCACAACTTACATAGACCCACAACAGTACCTGATGACATATCAGGAAAGCTTATTCTACTTTTAATAAAATCTCAGTTGGGTTGGCTTGTTGAACGGGAACTCGAGGTTGACATGCTTTATGATAATTTCGATGTGTTTTATGGACCATCTTATGCTTTGCAGGCACGATCGCGCTTCTGAAACGGAGGAGGCCATGGCTGAAGAATGACCGGGTTCAGGATATTGGGATAAGTCTTCTTCATTTGGATGTGTAGCTGGACAGCCTGGACTCTTGTTTGATGTCGTAGGCGACCAATGTCTGATGATAATCATTCTGGAATATTATGTTTAAAAATGAAAAAAGTAATTTACAGGTAATGGCTTTTGAGTTTAGCATACCGCTAACACGTCCTGGTAAACATAGTCCATTCAACTCGATCTAGTTTCGATGAAGATTCAACAACGTTTTCTAGGTGAAAGACAGTGTTCGACTACACTTGGTTTAGCCTCTACCTCTACTGCAATGTTCCCTAAAATCCTCTGTCATGCAAATGATTTTGGTTATTCTACTGCATTGCTTTTTGGTTTTTCGTGGTTACCCGCGAGATACTATGCATCACCGTTCTTTTCTTTTCTTTTCGTTTTCCTGGCGATTAGTCAAATCTTTCCTCTTCATTCCTATCTAGCAAAAGTGTACATCAGTACATGTTTTATGTGTATGTAAATAATTGACATCAATAAAATTATATATTTACGAATTTTATTATTGATAGATTATTTATGAAATAACTAATAAGAAATATTTTGCAGAAAAAAGGGATTGTAATTCTTAAGAGCATGAGATTTTCCTTACTTTATACGATACGACGAATAATCTCATTCCAATATAATTAGTTTTTTTTATATATTTGAATTAGCATCACAAACGCCCCAAACTAGTACACCTATAACAAATTTACCCCAAATTAATTTTTTGATCACGAAAAATCCCAAACCGGTACATTTGTGACAAATTTACCCTAGACTAATTTTTTGACCACCAAAAACCCCAAACCGATACATTTGCAACAAATTTACCCTTCGTTAATTTGTGTTAAATTGGATTAATACCACGAAAAACTGCAAACCGGTAAACCTGTGACAAACGGAGGGTAAAATCCCAAATTGGTACACTCGTCAACTTTCACGTGTCATTCAACTCAGCAATTTGACGGTAAAATTTAACGAAAACTAACAAAGGATAAATTTATCACAAGTGTACCGGTTTGAGGTTTTTGATAGTAAAAAAATTAATTTGAGGTACTAATTTGAGGTTTTTCGTGATATTAACCCTTTATATTTTTACTATTTAAAGTTGAATTCCATACTATCAAAGACCTCGATTTTATAAAATTTATTAACATTAGGCTCTGTTTATTTCGCGGAAAACGTGACATGTCTAAAAAATATTTTCCGAGAAGTCATTTTCCAAAAAAATGACAATATTTTTGTGGTTTTTGGCTAATACATGAAAATAAACCGAAAACATATTTTTCGTCATATGGTAAGGAAAATTTCATTTGGTGGGAATTACGGACGTGGATATCGGCTGTGCTGACGTGGACAAATTTTGTGATTTATTTTAAATAAAAAATTTTAATTATTTTTCTTTTTTCTTTTTTTTCCTTTTCTTTTTCCTTCTTCCTCTACTAGTCACTGAACCTTAGTGACGGCCGACAACAGGCAATAGGCGAGGCTTGACCTCGCTAGATCACAACAAGGCTTGCCTTGCCTGAGGCCGGCTTGTGCCTTTGGCCCAGCGTCGCCGAGGCTTGGCGATCGGTGGAGGAAGAAGGAAAAAGATAAAGAAAAGGAAAAGAAAAGAATAAAGTAAAAAATATTTTATAAATTTTGGCCTTGATGGACCCAGGCATGGGCGTCGGGGACCTAGGCTCAGCCTCGATATCATCGGGTTTGGTGTCCCAGGCATGGGCACCGGTGTCCTGAGTCTAGCCTCTATGGACTCAGGTGCGGTCGGCCAACGCGCCAGGGTCCCGGGCTCGGTCGTCAAGGACCAAGCCCAACTGCCAAGGACTTGAGAATGAGCGTTGGGTTCCATGCTTTTTTTCTTTGGTCGAGGCATTTCTACGCTTAAGTGTAGAGTTTTTGGTTTAAACGTTGATACCTTATCATATTTTTTAAAATGAATTTCCGATTTTTTAAAGAGAAAATTATTTTCCTGAATTTAATTTTTGATAGGAAACTATTTTCCGATAACTCATTTTTCTAAGCAAATCAAACGCCGAAAAATGAAAAAAATATTTTTCGCGAAATAATTGGAGCCTATTCACTTTCCTGACGATGCCATTTAAAACTTTGAAAGTTTCAATCACCTTTCCATTTGAGAGGAAACTCAAGAGTAGTTTTCAGTTTCCCAATTCATATTTGTCTGACCTAAAAATTCACTCATCCCACCACCAGGGCAATATCGTCCAGAAACAACAATGCCCTAAAACCCTTCCTGTCCCCTTCCGTTCTCCTCCCTTCGAAGCTGGGAAATCTCTTTCCCGACCACCAATCTCGATCCATCATCAGTCGTTCAGACCCTTCATCTCTCATTTTCTCATTTGGTCTTTCAGCGTCTTCTTCGGTCATGTTGGTGTCTAGGGTTTTTTCTCGCGCTTGGAGGGGCGCGTGCCGAAGCGCCTTGCTCCTTCCACCTTCGCTGAACAAGCCCTCGCCCGTTCTCTCCAATCAATTTGATGCGCTTTCGCCCGACACCCCATGTAAGGTACTAAAAGAACCGCGCTCTACATGAACTACGAGCTTGTCGAATCGAGGGTTTATCTTTTTGTGCATTGTCCTCGAGGATGGACTCGGTTTTGGTGATCGATTATCGGGTCCGTTGATGACTTTCATGAATATCCGCAGAGCCGTTTGCATTATGTATCTGTCTAATTCGTGTTACTATACGGAGTGCTCGATTGGATTGTTGGGTTGTCTCTACTTGTGTAAATTGAACCGGTTCAATTTTCTACCCACCATGCGTTTCTGCTTTGTGAGGAGTTTAGGAGTTAGATTAATATTGCTTTCTGGCATTCAGCTAGCTTGGAGTTGATTTTCTTTATCCATGGAGCCTATTTTGAGCTTGAAGTGCTATGGAACTTGGCATGCTTGTCTTCTCCCTATGTTTCATTGGGTTACTTTTTGCAGGCTCTCGTGTTAAATCATTCGACATTTAGTTCTTCGTTGCTTCGTCGGTTTGGAATTTCTTCCTCTGCATCACCTGAACCTAGTGAGAAGGATCAGGGGAGCACTGGGGAAAAGAACGGTGCGTCCACCGATGCACCTAAAGCGGTTGAAACTAAAGTGCCCAACCAGGCAGGAAATTCAGGTTCAACTTTTGAATTCGAGCATCATGTCTGAAACTATCAGACATTGAGAAAATGGCACTAAAGAAGTTGGGTTTCTCGATGCAGGTTCGGAGGGAGACGAGGAGCTCTCTATGGACGACTTGGTGAAACTTGTGTCAGAAAAGGAAGAACTATTGAAGATGAAACATAAACAGATAGACGAAATGCAAGATAAAGTTCTTCGAACCTATGCTGAAATGGAGAACGTCATGGACAGAACTAGGCGAGAAGCGGAGAATGCAAAGAAATATGCCATACAGGTGTGTTGTCTATACAGTTTCTCCCCCTGTTTGGATAGCAGGGCTGCTTTCATGTTCTTATGTAGTTTCTTATGGAATAGTTGCTTTTGTGATTGTCACAATTTGTCAAGAATGGTTGCTTAAATATTTACTGCAGAGTTTTGCGAAAAGCTTGCTGGATGTTGCAGACAATTTGGGTAGAGCCTCTTCAGTTGTCATGGAAAGTTTTGCAAAAATTGATGCTTCAAAAGATACTACTGGAGCTGTTCCGCTTTTGAAAACCCTTCTGGAAGGTGTTGAAATGACTCAGAAGCAGCTTTTGGAGGTAGCTTTTCCCCCTTTACCAGAGTCGTACTTCATATTCTGGTCTTCTTAGTGTAAAAGTTAATTAAAGTTGAAGTTCACACTGCACTGTTAATGGCGAGAAAAGAACCTGTGAAGTACGTGGGTGGTCTTCCTCATTTCGTATGATATGAGCTTCGACTTGCATGAATTGGTCCCCAGAGTTGTTTGAGGATGGTGGTGGTATCCTTTGAATTCAGCTCTGGATAATAGTTGTGGAAGTTATATAGCTGAGCATAGGAATACTGTGATGAAATTCGTTCAGTGAGAGAACTTTCTTCTTCTTCTTCTTCTTTTTCTTTTCCTTTTAGGTTTTGGTCAGTAGTGAAAGAACCTGTGGTGCTGTACTTTTTGCACCAAAGTTAAGGTAAATTGAGTGGAAAGATCTTGAGTTGTTTTCACTTTTATGGAAAGAAAAGTATGTTGGGTTGCTAAATATTCGTTGGAGAGCCTTGGAGAATAAATTAGCTGTACGTTCCATTTTACCTACAAAAAAAGATGTTTCGATGTTGCTGACTGTATGCCTCAAATGAAATTGTTTAAGGTGTTGTCACTTGTAGTTGTCTGGGACGTGGCTTTGACAGAATTACTTCCTATAGCAGAACCCTTGTTTCAAATTTTCTAGCTCTATGATTTCGGCTTTCATATCTGTGCTATGTCTATGTGGACTTGGTTTTTCCCAATTGATCTATTTTAAATCTTTTGAAATGTTTTCTTCTCGTAGCAATGCACAGGTTTGCTTACAACATATGTACAAAAACTAAAATACTAGTCAAGTTGGCTTCACATGATTGGTTGATTTCCAGTGCCTTCTTAAGTTCTTTCTTCATTGAATTTGTAGATGTGTCGGATTCCATGATTGCTGCTGCTTCTGAGATGTCTAACAGCTTTCTTGTGCCTTTACTTTCAGGTGTTCAAAAAATCTGGGATTGAGAAATATGATCCTGTCAATGAACCATTCGACCCACATAGGCACAATGCAGTATTCCAATTGCAAGATGATTCGAAACCTCCAGGCACAGTTGCTGTTGTTCTGAAGGTAACTGTGGTTCCTTTATATTAGTATCATTTATAGTTCGTTGGAAGTTCTTTTCCCTTCTTATTTTTGGCAGTGTACCTTGGGTGGATCTGTTGTTCTGATGATATAGGTCTAGTTGCGAATATCTTGCTTGTTTAATATGTTGGTATATTTAGGTCTTGGCAGCTGAAGTAGTAACTCCTTTTGAACTTGATAGCACAGTTGGAGAAGTAACTTTAAAAGCTTTCTGGATTTGTCAATTTCAGTTGCTTTAGGAGGGATGAGTGTCTTGATGCAATGTCCGGCATAAATTGCTGATTTTTGTATAGTTGAGTCAGTTAGGACATCAATGATGGCATATGGGCAAGCAAGGTCGCTTTGTCTATGTCCTTTGGGAGCTACTTGGGTCTAGATGAAAAAATCATCAATTGGTAGGCTAGAGTTTTTTTGTTTCCAGAACAGTACTTAGTAAGATGGAGAAGCTGAATCTATTCTTTGTCGATCTTCTTCGAGTGTGTAGTAAAGGGCAAGTGTTTATTTTGTTGTTGCAGCCGGGGTACATGCTATATGAGCGAGTTCTTCGTCCTGCTGAGGTTGGCGTAACTCAAGCAGCGGAAAATGACACCCAAGGATAATAATACAAACTGAGAAAGTCTCTCAAGCATAAAGAGGTGGCTGGGTTGTGGAATCCGAAGCCCGACTCCAAGAGCAATGGCTGTGAACTCGCATCTTCATCTTAAAGAGGTCTTGTTCTGTTTGAAAATTTTGCATCCGGCAGAGGGGACAAAAAATTATAGCAGTTTTCGCACTGGCTGTCGATAAGATTTATCCGAGAAACTACGAAGGGGCATTTATTTTGCTTTACCTTAAGTCCTGATCAGTGACTAATAATTATGTATCCCGAACTTGTACATGTGTACATCGTATGGCAGGGTTAGCTTTGAACTGAATATGAGGAGTTTTCCGTGCAAGAATCTCCACTTCGGGTCGAGGCCCTGAAAGGAAAAAAATGCTGCAGCTGCTGAAGTAAACTCACCCTTGTTACTAAGATCAATGTGAATGACTTTAGTTCAGTCTAAATGCCGTATCTGAGCTGAATCTGATAAAAGCCGACGTTTAGATGCCATAAGATCGAGCATCCGGATGAATATGTGCGGAAGGATTTGAGGCGAAAGTATCTAGGACGGGTGCTTTTGGCTCTGTAATGCGTTAGGGGTTCAGAAAAGGTTCATGGGTGTTCTCTATCTGATTGTGCCTGTGCATTGCAAACTTACTGTCGGACTATTGGGAACGGCATAAAAATGCGTCGCGGAGAATTGCCAGTGCACGATATGTATTTACGACGGTAATTTCTATTTGTGCACGGCGAAATGCAAAACTACCGTGATCTAAAACGAAGTCGTTGAGGTAAATAGACAGTTGCCAAACTCGAGTCTCTCGTGCTAAGAAATTTCTACCTCTTTGAAAAGTTAGGGCATATTTGGCAACTTTTCTATTTCTTTGTTTTTTTATTCTTTTGTTCCCAGAATCAGTTTTGAAACAGAAATCCGTTTGATAAATTTTTTGTTCCCCCGTACAAATTTGCAAAAATTTATTTCCAGAATTAGTTTTGGAATAGAATCAAGAAGCAAAAAAAAAAAAGTTACTTTTTGATTCGGGAACAAGAATTAGAAATGAAAAAGAAATTTTTTTTTCTTCTTCTCCGGCTTGTGGTGGCCACCAGGCCACTAGCCATAGTGCGGGTCGGCGAGGTCCGATGGCCGGCGAGGGTGTCGCAGCCCTCGCCGGCGGGGACGAAGGCTGGACCCTCGCCAGCAGGCGAGGCGACACTTGCCCAAACCGCGAGCCGCCCTCGCGGGTCGACTGTGGCTGTCATCGGGGCGACCTAGCCAAGGCCAAGGAAGGGGAAGAAAAAAAAAGAAAAAGAAAAAGAAAAAAATATTAAAAATTTAAAATATTATTAATAAAAAGAAATTTTATGCGATTCTAAACGCTTTTACATTCTTTTCTATTTGAGAATATAAATTTTGAATAGTTACCAAATATTTTTAAATGCTTAGAAATTATTCTCAGAAACGGAATAAAAAAGAACCATTTTTAAATAGAAATTATTTTCGAAAACGTAATAGTCGTCAAACACAACCTTCTTGAGTAATCATTTACTGCGGAGCAGTGTAGAAAAACTCTCGCGCGAAAAACTAGAAAATAGAAAAAGGAAAAATACACGAGCATATTTCGCGGTTTCTCGCAGTGTCCTCCCGATAAAAATATCTGTTCTGATACTACAAAAGCGGCTCTCCATCTCCGGAGCCTCCTCCATTGCTGAAGCTTCTTCAGAAATGGAGCTCTGCAGAGGCTCCACGTCGCTCCTCAATTCGAATCCCTCTCTTCTTCTCGACTCCATCTCCTGCAAGGCCTCCACTTCGCTCCCGACCTCATCTCTTCAATTCCAGCGCGCAACCTCCTTCGGTCCTCGCGTTCTGTCTTCGCCTCCTACGCGAACCCACCTGCTCCGGCGACCTCTCTCGCCGTCTCGTTCGAATGGCCGTCGTCTCACGGTCTCCGCGTCCTCCGCCGCCGTCGCCGCCTCCGAGAAGGACCGGCTGCCGGCGGATATCGAGGTCACGGAGGTCGAAGAACCTAACAGCAGAGTGAGTCTTCGCTCTGATGCGCTTACTGCGGGTCTTTGATCCTCTTTCTTTGACTAAGCTGGCCAGTCGTAATTTCGTTAGTTTTGTAATGTGTGGACGTTTTTTTGTGATGACGTTCGTCTACGGTTTGTTGCTGAATTTGAAAGCACAACCTGTATCTTTCGGTAATTGCGCGCTCACGGAACGGGAACTGATGATATCTTTGAATTCTCTATATTCATCAGAATGTGTCTGTTTCTCGTGTCCGAAATTCGGGAAATACCGCCAGTTTTCTGTTTTTCTTCATTGCGCTTTCTAAGTTTGATGTTTATGTTTTCAGGATTCAATTAGAGCTGTTGTAACCTTTCTTTTATGTAGCAATAGTCATGGGAAAGAACTTGTAAACACCTCCTTACTTTTTGTGTTCTGCAGGTGAGATTGAGTGTAGAAGTTCCACCTGTGGTATGTGAAGATTGTTACAGAAGGGTTATCAAGGAGTTCATGAAGCAAGCTAAGGTCAAATGCATATTCTGCTTTACTAGGAGCAGTTTGATACATTTTAAGCTGTTGGTCATGTGCGTAGCTAATTTGGTTATGCTTCTTCTTTCTTATAATTTAGCAGAGAGTACATTGTGGAATACAGGAATTTGTTATTTTATTCTGAATGCATTGACTTTTGTGCCTTGGGGAGGAAAATCTTCGGAGACCATTGAATTTTGCAATCTCTTGCATGTGACAATCATTAAATATAGGAGCTAATGTGGACAAACCTTACTTCAGTTCTTCATTTTGGCTTTCAAGTCTAAATGCTATGTATACTGCTTCATGCCTGGAGTATTTACACCCTTTTTCAAGGCAATAGTCGCCTAGAATGAACATTAATAATGCATTCATCTCCTCTTCTTTTGAACCCAGATTCCTGGATTTCGTCCTGGAAAGAATGTCCCAGAGAGCATTCTCTTAAGTTACGTAGGGAAGCAAAATATTCAAAAGGCTACCGTTGAGTCTATACTGAAGAGGACACTTCCCCACGCCATGTCTTCGGTATGTTAGAGTAATTTTCACTCCTTTATGTTTTGATGATTTTCAACAAAAGAATATCTTGCCGATGGTTTGTTGGGATCAAATTTCGTGAAAGTTCCATTGAGTAAAACCCATCTTATGATGCTTACACCTCTTGCCAGCTGCTTAGTGGTGTGTTGCTATGCTCTGCAAAATGTGGCCTAAATGTTTTGACTTATGAAAAAGTATTTATGACTCTCCCACCAAAAAGAAGAAAAAAAGATTTTAAAAAAATTGCAAAAAGTATTAAGTTGAATGTTACAAGGAAAGTCAGTCAAGCACACGCTTAACTCTTTTTGGTGGCAGTAACAAATGTGATGCCAATGAATCTGACATGGCTTGTCCGGAATATTTCACTGATATTCGCCTTTCAATTGGTGAGTTGTTCAACAGAGCTTGTTCTACATTTCAAAGGAAGAGATTTGGCGAAATCTTACCTTGGATTTGTTGAAGTGTGAATTGTATTTTGACATCTAAAATAAGGACATTGATGTGCTTCATGAAAGAGGGGATTGTCCAATGCTATTACCTATATCTGATTTTCTGCACCAACCAAGAGAGAATCTAAAACATCAGTTCAGAAGATTATTCTATGCATCCATGCTAGAGCTTTCTCAGGCATGCATTTTCTTTGGACAGGTGTCGGGTAAAGCTCTGAAGGACTCAGTTCGCATTGTGACAAAGTTTTCTGAGATGGAGAATACCTATATGTCTCTCAGTTCCCTCAGGTTTCACACGTGCCTCTCTTGTGTGCATAGATAGACAGCTTCAAATTCACAAGTACAGGTTTGTCTGTTGTCTGTGGATGCAATGTGCTGTATTTTAATTGCTTCCCTCACTTATGATCCAGATATGATGTTATTGTTGATGTGGCACCTGAAGTCAAGTGGATTCCTGAAGATGGATATAAAAGCTTGAAAATTGTTGTGGAAATAGATAGAGAAATAGATGCTCAGAGAGCTTGTCAACAAGAACTAAGACGGCGACACAAATCATTAGGCACATTGAGGATTATAACGGACAGAGGACTCCAGGTTAGTAATATATAAGCTTCAACGTTGGCATGACATGTTTTTTCCCTCCCTTAATTTATGATTTATCCCTTTCCTCTGTAAAACTGTCCGAAAAACTTCACTTTGATAACCAATTAGAGAATTTCGAGGGATAGATAGTGACATATTGCATCTTCATAGTTTATATTTCGAGCAGATAGTGTACCTCGGATTTGTTTTATTGAGGCTCTGGCTGATTTGCAGATACTAGGTTGCAAATTTTCAGATGTTTGATATGCATTGTCCCTATATTCTCAGGCTAGAAATTTATGAACCTTCATATTGTAGTAGGTTTCATAAACTTGATTGCATCTTATGTTCTAATGATCCTTGCTTTATCAGCTGTTATGTGAGTCTAGAATCTGAATTATTGACATGCCATATTCACAGATTGGGGATGTTGCTGTCTTGGATATATCAGCAACAACAATCGATCAAGATGAATCCAATGTTAAACAGATTCCTTCTGCAGAAAGTAAAGGTTCGACAATGTCCAGAGAAGTCTCACAATTTCTATTTGTAGTGCACAACTAGCATTTCTCATATTCAATTATCATCAAATTTCCAGGGTTTCATTTTGACACTGAAGATGGCGACAAAGTGCTACCTGGTTTCCTCGATTCAATAATCGGCATGCAGCGCGGCAAAACAAAGTCTTTCCCACTTTTCTTTCCTGATAACTGGAATCAAGAAAATCTACGCGGTGTCCATGCTCAATTTACGGTAAGTTCCTCTTTGATGTGTCACTGGTTTCTTGCAGATTTTAATATGTATCTCTATGCTTTTCTTCAAGAAATAATGCTCTAAAACAAATTTTTGAAAAATGCCAGTGTCTCTTCTTACAACTAAATTATCACAGCCAGCTCTTTTATTTCTAATTCCTGTTCTCTTTGGCCAATAGTGCTGCAACCTTACTAGGCAAACTTACTATCCTAACTTAAATTACTATTGAGCATATCAAGGTTTAAATCCCTATATTGATCGTATTACCCACCCCCATAACCTACATCTGGATGAATTCTTCTCCAGATGGATTTGTAACTGGTTTTTCATCTATACCATTGGCTGTGCAAATTTTTTTATCTGATCTATCTGATGCCATCATTTCAGTGTTGCAATATAATGGTCTCATTCATAATTAGGTAAAACTGTCTTTCTTTTTTTGGAAAGCTTCTAGTAAATCTCCAAAAGTAGGCTATATGGGTA